GGGAGAGGGAGAGGGAGAGGGAGAGGGAGAGGGAGAGGGAGAGGGAGAGAGGGAGGGAGATGGAGATGGAGAGGGAGAGGGAGAGGGAGAGGGAGAGGGAGAGAGGGAGAGGGAGAGGGAGAGGGAGAGGGAGAGGTATAAATTAATGTCTATTATTACAGGTCTAAGTAACACGATAGGATCGCCCCTGTATATTCTAACTGGATTCGTAATGCAGAGGAAGGCGGGTCCAGCTATTATCATATCTTATCTGATAGCCTTTATCTCCAGTCTCTGTGCTGCCCTCACTTACAGGTTCCTTCTTCCAAGAAACACGTGATGCCCATATATGGGCATCTCTTCTGCTCTTAAAAGCACAAACCTTCTACCAAGAAACACGTGATGCCCATATATGGGCATCTCTTCTGCTCTTATTTTACTGAATATTTGAAAATATTACAACATAAAACCAGATCGCTATCCCAACTACCAACCTCTCTTTCCCACAGCGAGCTGATGAACCAGATCTCGACACACGGAAGTGACTACCTGTACTCGTACGTAACAATGGGAGAACTGTACGGCTTCCTGGTGGGTTGGAACCTAATCCTGGAGTACTGTGTAGATGTAGCCTCAGTTTCTAAAGCTCTCACTATTCACATTGATAAGATATACTTTAACGGGGATATATCCTCGTGGCAGTCCCACACCACAGCTATACCTAACCTTAACCACTTTAGTGATTACGTGGACTTGTTCAGTATCGCCTTCTGTTTTATACTCACACTCATCATTGCTATGGGCGGCAAGTTCTCCAAAGTAGTCAACAACTTCTTTACCTGCTTTAACCTGGTGTGTTACGTCAGCATCATGGTGTTCGGCTCCTTCTCCTGTGATCTATCTAACTGGTATACTCAGCAGCCACACCTCAACACTACTCTCCCTACACAGCAACCCCCGGAGCTAGCCCCCGTGGGCTTCATGCCCTGGCAGTTTAGGGGGGCTCTCCAGGGGGCGGGGTCCTGTATATTCGCGTTCGCTGGATTCAGGGCTATATTCGGGGACGGTATAAAGTCCCGGGACCCTAAGAGGAACCTTCCAATAGCCTCTATCAGTACACTGGTAATATCTACTGTTCTGTATATAGGGGTGAGTTTCACTATCAGCTGCATGATACCCAGCTGGAAGATAGATACTGCTGCTCCCATATTCAGTGCTTTTACTGAACACAACCTCCTACCCCTCCAGAAACTACTCGCTATCGGCGCTATTGCAGGTCAGTTGGAGCTTAATCTTCATTAGTGGGGGGGGGGGGGGGGGGGGATCAACTCTTCATTAGTATGCATGCTTTTATTAAATTTATTTAATTATCTACTATCATTCTGTTGTAATACTTGATACCCTTCCCTTCCCCACTTGGTAGATAATGTGAGGGCTCTCCACAGTAATAGTCTGTGAATTTTAAAATAGCATAAATACACTTATCTCACTTTAAGACCTACTATACTACCTATACTACGGACTATCTGAGCTATAGTTTCAGGATCTCAAATCTCCCGCCAAAACCTGGTTTGCATGATCTAATGTCACGTGATGAGATAATTTACCAATCTGTAGTGTAGCTTCTATCTTCTCACTTATACAGGGTGTACTTTCTATCTCTGGGTTTGACAGTCTCCTTTTGAAACACAGTGGACTAGCAATAAGAAAAGATTATCACCTTTGAGTTGACTGCAGCTTAGCACTTAGATTCACTAACTTTAATACAACCATGGTAACTACAATTGAACTATTAACACTCATTTAGGACGGTTAACTTCAGTCACTACTATAGTTCAGGGCTGTAACCATGGTAATTGGTAACTTGTATAACACTACTGTAGTATAACACATAGTAGTTCAGGGCTGTAACCATGGTAACTTGTATAACACTACTGTAGTATAACACATAGTAGTTCAGGGCTGTAACCATGGTAACTTGTATAACACTACTGTAGTATAACACATAGTAGTTCAGGGCTGTAACCATGGTAACTTGTATAACACTACTGTAGTATAACACATAGTAGTTCAGGGCTGTAACCATGGTAACTTGTATAACACTACTGTAATCACACCACGTGATAGCGCTCTAAATCTCAACGAGATTTGCAAAAAGTATTAGAAAGGAGTAACCATTATAACATCCACTCCCACCAGGGCTGGTACAAGCGTCAGTGTACAAGTTCCTGCCCCTGCCCCCTCTCTTAACCATGATGTCAGAAGATGGGCTCCTCTTCAAATTCCTCGGGGACGTAGACAAAGAGACTGGGGTACGCTCAGTTAATATCTTACCTTTCTTATCTTATCTATTATATTTAGTTCATACCTTACCTATCTTATCTTATCTATTATATTTGGTGGCATTACAGTTCATACCTTACCTATCTTATCTTATCTATTATATTTGGTGGCATTACTGAAACACCAGAATAGAATAGAGATATCAAGACTAAGTGACCCTTATCTTACCCTTATCTTACCAGTACTCCCCTCAGTGTAGTAACCATAGTAACCAGTTTAGTTACCATAGTAACCACTACTCCCCTCAGGGCCCCTTCAAAGGGACAGTGTTCTACGGTTTAGTATCCACCGTGTTTGTAGCAGTATTTGTACTAGACGAACTGATAGACATGTTGTCTATAGGTACACTGATAGCGTACATCATGGCAAGTGTGTCAATCATCAGACTACGGTACAAACCCGGGGAGTTTGGGAATGGGAACAGTGCAAGTAGGTTTTTTTCATGGTAACGGTTGTTGTTGTCATGATGACGACTGTTGTATTATTTTAATTCTCTGAAGCAGATATACTCACATTTTGTACAAACTTAGACTTCAGATCTAGCAATGCACGTGACCACCATAATATAATACACTGTAACCATGGTAACAGCTGTGTGAATATTTATAACTTTTAACTGGCGGGAACACATATTACAATATAGCAATATAGATATAATAATATGAGAATAGATATCCTAACATAATATGCACAAATTAATCCAAGTCTAAGAAAAATATAAGTCTTTATTTGCCGTAAAGATGGCTTCGTTGGCACAAAAGTGATAAAAGATAATTTGAGCCGTGATTTTTCACACTAGCACATTACTATATATATTATATATATTATTACTGTACATTCAAGTTGTGAGCTAGAAATGGCATGCAAAAATGTAAGACTAAAAACACGTGGAATCTTGAAGTTATACTTATATGACTATAATGTAATGGTAGTAAAGTAATAAGAGCTGTTACAATGACAAAATGGAGACATCATGTTATTATATGATAAACTTTCTCGGCTTCTACATAATCTAGGAAACTAGATATCACTAAATGTGCATATAAAACCAATATATTTTCCTGGCATGATTTATTGCAGTTAAAATTTAAAATTTCGAAATGTAAGTTTTCCGTTGCAATAATGTAATGTACATTGCTGCAAACTTTGATGATAGAGGCTGCCAAAAATGAAATGAAGTCAGACAATAAAATTAATTGAAGACGATATATATATATTTCATTGGCTGGACTTCTACACAATAAAAGAGAGCGGTTGTGATATATAATATATAATAATTAGACGCACCCAATCGTCAGACTGTACACTGTGTCAATTAGTTACATTGTTTAATTGGAATCTTAAACCATTGAAATCATTAAATAATAAGTAAATAATATATATTATGTATGCATACATATTGATAAATAAATATTATATTAATAAATTATATTATCACATTTGCAAGTTCTATAGCATAATTAAATAAAATATTATAATTAATCAAGTATCCAGCCGGATACAGGATTAAATGGAAACCACCTATCTGTAAACATAATTAATCAGCTGACATAAAATGAGGTTTATTCTTTTATTATTAATAGTAATATCAATTAAATAATAGTTTGTAATATTTTTAATTTAAAGTTCCATCCACTTAAAGTTCCATCCACTGCAAGTTGTGGTCAGTTTATTTTATAATAGCATGCTTAAAATCTGCAAAAACCGTGTAATCGCGGGGGGGGGGGGGGGGGGGGGGGGGGGGGATGCAACGACCATTAAAGCGCGCGGAAGAGGTGCACAGAGCGCGGAAGAGCTGCATTAAAATGTATCTTTGTTGTAACCTTTATTAAACTACTCTAACCTCTAACTCTACTTGTAACCTTTATTAAACTACTCTAACCTCTAACTCTACTTGTAACCTTTATTAAACTACTCTAACCTCTAACTCTACTTGTAACCTTTATTAAACTACTCTAACCTCTAACTCTACTTGTATTAACCTTTATTAAACTACTCTAACACTACACCTTATAAAAATATGTGAAACTACTCTAACACTACACCTCCTCAGTGAACCAGTTCACAGAACGCAAGATGAAAGCCTCCCTTATAATCTACACTATAACATCCTGCATATTCGGCTACCTGATAGCTTACTCCAACTTCTCCAGTGTCCTCTTTATCACCTCCGCAAGCATCCTCACCCTGATAATGCTGATATGTGGTGTTATCATCTACCTTCAACCTCAGAATATACAAGAACTGTCCTTCTACTGCCCCTTTGTGCCCCTCATGCCTCTATTCGCTATCTTCCTAAACTCAGTACTGATAATGCACCTCAGCTATAAGACTTGGATAAGGTTCTCTAGTTGGATGGGTATCGGACTGGTAGTGTACTTTACATACTCTATAAGGTTCTCTAATCTCTCTAATAATCACACTGTCAATAAGAAACCTGGGGGGTACCCTAACTCGGATCCTCCCAAACGAACACATGTGCGGCGAGTGAGCAGACAGGGGAGGCTGGACGGTTACCATATCGAACATACACCCTTACCAGACACACGCCGCTCCAGGTCAACTCCCGCTAAAGCTGCACGTGCAGCTGCGCGCAATATATCACGTGAGGAGGAGATGGCTGCTAGGTTACGGGAGTGGAATGACTTTCTCAGAGTTCAGACTTTGAACAAACAGCGAGCAGAGATGGAAAGTGACCCCGAGGGAAGTGTTTGTAGTCAGCCGAGAATAAGTCATAAGACAAATAGCAACGGAGGGGTTTAGCGGCTAGAAGGTTGTGGTTTAGCGGCTAGAGGTTTGATTTAGCGGTTAGAAGGTTGTGGTTTAGCGGCTAGAGGTTTGATTTAGCGGCTAGAAATTTGTGGTTTAGCGGCAAGAAGGTTGTGGTTTAGCGGCTAGAAGGTTGTGGTTTAGCGGCTAGAAGGTTGTGGTTTAGCGGCTAGAAGGTTGTGGTTTAGCGGCTAGAAGGTTGTGGTTTAGCGGCTAGAAGGTTGTGGTTTAGCGGCTAGAAGGTTGTGGTTTAGCGGCTAGAAGGTTGTGGTTTAGCGGCTAGAAGGTTGTGGTTTAGCGGCTAGAAGGTTGTGGTTTAGCGGCTAGAAGGTTGTGGTTTAGCGGCTAGAAGGTTGTGGTTTAGCGGCTAGAAGGTTGTGGTTTAGCGGCTAGAAGGTTGTGGTTTAGCGGCTAGAAGGTTGTGGTTTAGCGGCTAGAAGGTTGTGGTTTAGCGGCTACAAGGTTGTGGTTTAGCGGCTAGAAGGTTGTGGTTTAGCGGCTAGAAGGTTGTGGTTTAGCGGCTAGAAAGTTGTGGTTTAGCGACTAGAAGGTTGCGGTTTAGCGGCTAGAAGGTTGTGGTTTAGCGGCTAGAAGGTTGTGGTTTAGTGGCTAGAAGGTTGTGGTTTAGCGGCTAGAAGGTTGTGGTTTAGCGGTTAGAAGGTTGTGGTTTAGCGGCTAGAAGGTTGTGGTTTAGCGGCTAGAAGGTTGTGGTTTAGCGGCTAGAAGTTTGTGGTTTAGCGGCTAGAAGGTTGTGGTTTAGCGGCTAGAAGGTTGTGGTTTAGCGGCTAGAAGGTTGTGGTTTAGCGGGTAGAAGGTTGCGGTTTAGCGGCTAGAAGGTTGCGGTTTAGCGGCTAGAAGGTTGTGGTTTAGCGGGTAGAAGGTTGCGGTTTAGCGGCTAGAAGGTTGCGGTTTAGCGGCTAGAAGCTTGTGGTTTAGCGGCTAGAAGGTTGCGGTTTAGCGGCTAGAAGTTTGTGGTTTAGCGGCTAGAAGGTTGTGGTTTAGCGGCTAGAAGGTTGTGGTTTAGCGGCTAGAAGGTTGTGGTTTAGCGGCTAGAAGGTTGTGGTTTAGCGGCTAGAAGGTTGTGGTTTAGCGGCTAGAAGGTTGTGGTTTAGCGGCTAGAAGGTTGTGGTTTAGCTGCTAGAAGGTTGTGGTTTAGCGGCTAGAAGTTTGTGGTTTAGCGGCTAGAAGGTTGTGGTTTAGCGGCTAGAAGGTTGTGGTTTAGCGGCTAGAAGGTTGTGGTTTAGCGGCTAGAAGGTTGTGGTTTAGCGGCTAGAAGGTTGCGGTTTAGCGGCTAGAAGGTTGCGGTTTAGCGGGTAGAAGGTTGCGGTTTAGCGGGTAGAAGGTTGTGGTTTAGCGGCTAGAAGGTTGTGGTTTAGCGGCTAGATAGATGTTGTTTAGCGGCTAGAAGGTTGTGGTTTAGCGGCTAGAAGGTTGTGGTTTAGCGGCTAGAAGGTTGTGGTTTAGCGGCTAGAAGGTTGTGGTTTAGCGGCTAGAAGGTTGTGGCTTAGCGGCTAGAAGGTTGTGGTTTAGCGGCTAGAAGGTTGTGGTTTAGCGGCTAGAAGGTTGTGGTTTAGCGGCTAGAAGGTTGTGGTTTAGCGGCTAGAAGGTTGTGGTTTAGCGGCTAGAAGGTTGTGGTTTAGCGGCTAGAAGGTTGTGGTTTAGCGGCTAGAAGGTTGTGGTTTAGCGGCTAGAAGTTTGTGGTTTAGCGGCTAGAAGGTTGTGGTTTAGCGGCTAGAAGGTTGTGGTTTAGCGGCTAGAAGGTTGTGGTTTAGCGGCTAGAAGGTTGTGGTTTAGCGGCTAGAAGGTTGTGGTTTAGCGGCTAGAAGGTTGTGGTTTAGCGGCTAGAAGGTTGTGGTTTAGCGGCTAGAAGGTTGTGGTTTAGCGGCTAGAAGGTTGTGGTTTAGCGGCTAGAAGGTTGTGGTTTAGCGGCTAGAAGGTTGTGGTTTAGCGGCTAGAAGGTTGTGGTTTAGCGGCTAGAAGGTTGTGGTTTAGCGGCTAGAAGGTTGTGGTTTAGCGGCTAGAAGGTTGTGGTTTAGCGGCTAGAAGGTTGTGGTTTAGCGGCTAGAAGGTTGTGGTTTAGCGGCTAGAAGGTTGTGGTTTAGCGGCTAGAAGGTTGTGGTTTAGCGGCTAGAAGGTTGTGGTTTAGCGGCTAGAAGGTTGTGGTTTAGCGGCTAGAAGGTTGTGGTTTAGCGGCTAGAAGGTTGTGGTTTAGCGGCTAGAAGGTTGTGGTTTAGCGGCTAGAAGGTTGTGGTTTAGCGGCTAGAAGGTTGTGGTTTAGCGGCTAGAAGGTTGTGGTTTAGCGGCTAGAAGGTTGTGGTTTAGCGGCTAGAAGGTTGTGGTTTAGCGGCTAGAAGGTTGTGGTTTAGCGGCTAGAAGGTTGTGGTTTAGCGGCTAGAAGGTTGTGGTTTAGCGGCTAGAAGGTTGTGGTTTAGCGGCTAGAAGGTTGTGGTTTAGCGGCTAGAAGGTTGTGGTTTAGCGGCTAGAAGGTTGTGGTTTAGCGGCTAGAAGGTTGTGGTTTAGCGGCTAGAAGGTTGTGGTTTAGCGGCTAGAAGGTTGTGGTTTAGCGGCTAGAAGGTTGTGGTTTAGCGGCTAGAAGGTTGTGGTTTAGCGGCTAGAAGGTTGTGGTTTAGCGGCTAGAAGGTTGTGGTTTAGCGGCTAGAAGGTTGTGGTTTAGCGGCTAGAAGGTTGTGGTTTAGCGGCTAGAAGGTTGTGGTTTAGCGGCTAGAAGGTTGTGGTTTAGCGGCTAGAAGGTTGTGGTTTAGCGGCTAGAAGGTTGTGGTTTAGCGGCTAGAAGGTTGTGGTTTAGCGGCTAGAAGGTTGTGGTTTAGCGGCTAGAAGGTTGTGGTTTAGCGGCTAGAAGGTTGTGGTTTAGCGGCTAGAAGGTTGTGGTTTAGCGGCTAGAAGGTTGTGGTTTAGCGGCTAGAAGGTTGTGGTTTAGCTGCTAGAAGGTTGTGGTTTAGCGGCTAGAAGGTTGTGGTTTAGCGGCTAGAAGGTTGTGGTTTAGCGGCTAGAAGGTTGTGGTTTAGCTGCTAGAAGGTTGTGGTTTAGCGGCTAGAAGGTTGGGGGTTTGTTACTTCAGAGTCGTGTGTGCTAAGTTTGATGCTTTGTGGCCAGGAAGTGACCTGTTTGTGGCTAGGTACAGCTGGGGTGCCATATTTTTTGTATAACGTTTGTGTATTTAATTAAGTTGGTCGGTCATTAACCCACCTCGACATTATTACTTACTCCACCTGGTCAACCTGACCCTGACCTGACCCTTACCTGACCCTAACTTTTCAGTTCACCCTAAATTTAACTTTCCCATAATTACCTAGCATTCGTTTGCCAGGTTTTACCCACTTTAGACCCCTTACACGTAGCCCCTCCTGACTGTGTCAGGTAATGTTGGCACACTGCCAAAGGTGGGTTATTGTCCTCGTGTTATTATATTTGTTCAGTATTAAAATATTTTTAACTAATTTAGTTATCCCTGTTATTATCTCAGTAGAGACAGTAGACTCCTGGGCTGCTCATTTCCACGAAATACTCACACACCATGTATATGTTGAAATACATACTTTAGAGATAACTAAATTTCAAAAGTTGACCATCCCCGCAACCCCAAATATGGTATTATTACCAAATATGGTATTATTACCAAATATGGTATTATTACCAAATATGGTATTATTACCAAATATGGTATTATTACCAAATATGGTATTATTACCAAATATGGTATTATTACCAAATATGGTATTATTACCAAATATGGTATTATTACCAAATATGGTATTATTACCAAATATGGTATTATTACCAAATATGATAGTACCACCAAATATGGTATAACGGGGTTTTAACGTAGAGGATTTTATCATTTTCAGCAAACCACTCGATTGTTTCATTTGTTTAATATGAAGTGACACAAACGTAAAGTGTGAACTTAATAAACTGATACCTGCTATTATTAAGGGGGGGGGGGGGGTTCACCTTGATATTATTAATGGACTCAGAGGTCTGATTAGCGGTCCACTAATTCAGTCTTATCATGATAGCTACCAACCCTCCCACCCCCACCAACCCCCACCCCCTACCCTTACCCCTACCACCCCCTCCCCTCCCAAATTCTGCCTTCCCCTGATAACTAACCTTCATTTCCTCTCCCTTGCATCTGCAGGACTATAAGGGCAGTGTAACTAAGTAAGTAAGTAAGTAAGTAAGTAACTATAACTAACCAGTATGTTTTAAGTTGTGATGAAGGAGCACAAACTCCAGCTCTGCTATGTAGAGAGAGGTAGAGATAGAGGGGACTCGGGTACTCATACTGTCCACACAGAGACACCCAGCTAGAGACAGAGCTGGGTAAGAGGACAGCTCCACATCCTTCCAGTCACTGAGAGGGGCCGGGAGTGAGAACTACATACTTCTACATGCTTCATACTACATACTACTGTAACAAATAGAGGAGAATAAGGAGAACACAATACAGAAGTGAGGAAGCAAATAGAGGAGACTAAGGGAGTAGTAAAGAGACTCACAGCACTACATCATCTCCAGTGTGTTCACTGCCGGAACTCTTCTCCTCCCAGATCTCCACATCTAGTTCCATGTGTACTCTCCACTGGCTAGCTTCTACACCACCACCCGGCAACTCAAACCTAGCCACATCAACCTGGGAGATTAGATATACAGACTTAAACCTAGCCACATCAACCTGGGAGATTAGATATACAGACTCAAACCTAGCCACATCAACCTGGGAGATTAGATATACAGACTCAAACCTAGCCACATCAACCTGGGAGATTAGATATACAGACTCAAACCTAGCCACATCAACCTGGGAGATTAGATATACAGACTCAAACCTAGCCACATCAACCTGGGAGATAAGATATACAGACTTAAACCTAGCCACATCAACCTGGGAGATTAGATATACAGACTCAAACCTAGCCACATCAACCTGGGAGATTAGATATACAGACTCAAACCTAGCCACATCAACCTGGGAGATTAGATATACAGACTCAAACCTAGCCACATCAACCTGGGAGATTAGATATACTCACTCAAACCTAGCCACATCAACCTGGGAGATTAGATATACAGACTTAAACCTAGCCACATCAACCTGGGAGATTAGATATACAGACTTAAACCTAGCCACATCAACCTGGGAGATTAGATATACAGACTTAAACCTAGCCACATCAACCTGGGAGATTAGATATACTCACTCAAACCTAGCCACATCAACCTGGGAGATTAGATATACAGACTTAAACCTAGCCACATCAACCTGGGAGATTAGATATACAGACTTAAACCTAGCCACATCAACCTGGGAGATTAGATATACAGACTTAAACCTAGCCACATCAACCTGGGAGATTAGATATACAGACTCAAACCTAGCCACATCAACCTGGGAGATTAGATATACAGACTCAAACCTAGCCACATCAACCTGGGAGATTAGATATACAGACTCAAACCTAGCCACATCAACCTGGGAGATTAGATATACAGACTCAAACCTAGCCACATCAACCTGGGAGATTAGATATACAGACTCAAACCTAGCCACATCAACCTGGGAGATTAGATATACAGACTCAAACCTAGCCACATCAACCTGGGAGATTAGATATACAGACTCAAACCTAGCCACATCAACCTGGGAGATTAGATATATAGACTTAAACCTAGCCACATCAACCTGGGAGATTAGATATACAGACTCAAACCTAGCCACATCAACCTGGGAGATTAGATATACAGACTCAAACCTAGCCACATCAACCTGGGAGATTAGATATACTCACTGAAACCTAGCCACATCAACCTGGGAGATTAGATATACAGACTTAAACCTAGCCACATCAACCTGGGAGATTAGATATACAGACTTAAACCTAGCCACATCAACCTGGGAGATTAGATATACAGACTCAAACCTAGCCACATCAACCTGGGAGATTAGATATACAGACTTAAACCTAGCCACATCAACCTGGGAGATTAGATATACAGACTTAAACCTAGCCACATCAACCTGGGAGATAAGATATACAGACTTAAACCTAGCCACATCAACCTGGGAGATTAGATATACAGACTCAAACCTAGCCACATCAACCTGGGAGATAAGATATACAGACTCAAACCTAGCCACATCAACCTGGGAGATTAGATATATAGACTTAAACCTAGCCACATCAACCTGGGAGATTAGATATACAGACTCAAACCTAGCCACATCAACCTGGGAGATTAGATATACAGACTCAAACCTAGCCACATCAACCTGGGAGATTAGATATACAGACTTAAACCTAGCCACATCAACCTGGGAGATTAGGTATACAGACTTAAACCTAGCCACATCAACCTGGGAGATTAGATATACAGACTCAAACCTAGCCACATCAACCTGGGAGATTAGATATACAGACTTAAACCTAGCCACATCAACCTGGGAGATTAGATATACAGACTTAAACCTAGCCACATCAACCTGGGAGATTAGATATACAGACTCAAACCTAGCCACATCAACCTGGGAGATTAGATATACAGACTCAAACCTAGCCACATCAACCTGGGAGATTAGATATACAGACTTAAACCTAGCCACATCAACCTGGGAGATTAGATATACAGACTTAAACCTAGCCACATCAACCTGGGAGATTAGATATACAGACTTAAACCTAGCCACATCAACCTGGGAGATTAGATATATAGACTTAAACCTAGCCACATCAACCTGGGAGATTAGATATACTCACTGACCGACTGACTGACCGACCGAAGAGCTGACTGACTGACCGACCGACGGACCGACCGGTAAGGCATATAACCGTATGCGGGCATAGCTATTCGATAAGTTTTAGTGAACTTATCTCAATTTAACTTACTTGTGACACTATAAAGTCGATGTAGGGAATGTAAGTTTTAGTAAACTGATCGTAGTACAGTAAAGTACACTGAATTCCTTCATTTTGTTCACACGCTAGTAATACGGGTAGTGTCACCATGGTTACTATACTGCGTTTCTCTGGATACCTGAAAATGTCTGTGTTTTATTGCTGTTCAATTTCACCACATTTCCTCAGAAATGTGGTGAAACTTTTGCAGAACCCAAACTTAATTGAGACTACATAATTGCCAAAATTAACAAAAATTGCGGTTGAACTAAGCTGAAAGTAATACCTAAAATATTTCCTTGTGTTTGAACTGACCTCCAAGTGATGGCGGCCTCGTTAGCACTGAAGACGACAGTGCCTGGGGCCACAGTGTGTTGTTTATCTGACTCCAGAATAACGAACTTGTAGCCTGCACTTCTTATATCATCGTGGTGGTAGGTGGTGAACGGAGCTGGGGTCGTTTCTTCTACTGACTCTGCTAATTATAATTAATTATTTAACTGTTACTAATGATGCTGCTAATTATAATTAATCAATCAACTGTTACTAAGGAGCTGGGGTCGTTTCTTCTACTGACTCTGCTAATTATAATTAATCAATCAACTGTTACTAAGGAGCTGGGGTCGTTTCTTCTACTGACTCTGCTAATTATAATTAATCAATCAACTGTTGCTAATGAGCTGGGGTCGTTTCTTCTACTGACTCTGCTAATTATAATTAATCAATCAACTGTTGCTAATGATGCTGCTAATTATAATTAATCAATCAACTGTTGCTAATGAGGCTGCTAATTATAATTAATCAATCAACTGTTACTAAGGAGCTGGGGTCGTTTCTTCTACTGACTCTGCTAATTATAATTAATCAATCAACTGTTACTAAGGAGCTGGGGTCGTTTCTTCTACTGACTCTGCTAATTATAATTAATCAATCAACTGTTGCTAATGAGCTGGGGTCGTTTCTTCTACTGACTCAGCTAATTATAATTAATCAATCAACTGTTGCTAATGATGCTGCTAATTATAATTAATCAATCAACTGTTGCTAATGAGGCTGATGAGGCAAAATAATTACCGTTACAGGGAAAAAAGAAGTATTATTTGTTACGAACCATAGGAAAAATGGTAACTAAAATGCTGATAAGGAAATTGATTGTGAGCCAATATTATTAAATCAAAATATCAGATAAAATAAAAACAACTGATTATTCGATTCTGTAGCTATAATCACCCAATTATTTAATTATAAAGCTAATAACTGACCAGGCAGGTATTTGGAGATTTGTTCTGTGAGTTTCTGGAGGACTGTCACGTGCTCCTGACCTAGTTTACAGAACAAACACGGTAAGTACACACTGTTAACTACACCTGAGAGTGGGACAGGTTACTAGGTTACTAAGTAACTACACCTGGGAGTGAGACAGGTTACTAGGTTACTAACAAACCTATATACTTAGTTACTAAGACAAATGGTTACTAGGTAACCTATATACTTAGTTACTAAGACACATGGTTACTAAGTAACTTATATACTTAGTTACTAAGACACATGGTTACTAAGTAACTTATTATATACTTAGTTACTAAGACACATGGTTACTAAGTAACCTATATACTTAGTTACTAAGACAAATGGTTACTAAGTAACCTATATACTTAGTTATAAGACAAATGGTTACTAAGTAACCTATATACTTAGTTATAAGACAAATGGTTACTAAGTAACCTATATACTTAGTTACTAAGACAAATGGTTACTAAGTAACCTATATACTTAGTTACTAAGACAAATGGTTACTAAGTAACCTATATACTTAGTTACTAATTCGAATGGTTACTAAGTAACCTATATACTTAGTTACTAAGACAAATGGTAACTAAGTTACCTATATACTTAGTTACTAAGACAAATGGTTACTAAGTAACCTATATACTTAGTTACTAAGACAAATGGTTACTAAGTAACCTATATACTTAGTTACTAATTCGAATGGTTACTAAGTAACCTATATACTTAGTTACTAAGACAAATGGTAACTAAGTTACCTATATACTTAGTTACTAAGACGAATGGTTACTAAGTAACCTATATACTTAGTTACTAAGACAAATGGTTACTTATAAGTAACCTATGTACTTAGTTACTGAGACAAATGATTACTAAGTAACCCAGGTGCTAAGCTACAAAAGCCAGCGCAGAGTTCACACCTTTAGTATCTATGGTGCTTGTTATCTTCACATCACAAGGAAGCACCATATCCAGGTTAGATAAGGTATGAGATGTTGTGCTGGCGTGTACCCCACTCAGTTCAAGATCCGACCTAGGGGTATTGTTAGATAAGGTACGCAGCACTACGGGAGTTATAAAATATAGCACGTGCACGCTTCTGCACGTGCACGCATGCGCTTCTGCACGTGCACGCACGCGCTTCTGCTATATTGAATATCCACACAAGCCTGCCGGGTGGATATATTGGGGGTATTCAACCTAGATAACAGGTTAGATCTAATGTTTTGCTGTTATAACAAAACTAGTTATGGTGCTGACCTGATGGACTTGTTGAGTTCTCGTCCCAGGGACAAGTCTAGACTTTTAAACCCGATCTCCAACTCACACACTCGCACCTGATGTAGTTACTAGGTTACTAGGTTTGTAGGTTACAAGGTAACTAACTTACTAAGTTACTTGGCTACTAAGTTACTAACTTACTAGCTAGTAGCTTTTGAAGTTATGAGGTAATTAGTTTACGTTAGGTAAACAAGTTTTAAAACGTAATTTTGGAGTTTTGATATACCCACAAGAAAGGGAGGCTATGTAACGACTAATATATGCCAAGTTCCCTGTACCTTGGTCCGCTGAACGTGTATAGTGATGTGATCCAGGGGTAGGGAGACCGAGGAGGAGGAGGAGGAGGAGGAGGAGGAGGAGGAGGAGGAGACTGGGGGATCTGTAGCGTCTTCTCCTGCTTTATTTATTAGTTTCAATATAACATACTAGCACCTTGATAACTGGAAACACACTGGAAACACACTGGAAACACACTGGAAACAAAATATATATATATCTCCGGGCTATATTATTATATCGCCCGATGGTATAGCGGGCTCCCGCTATATCAGCGGGCTGTGAGAGCGGGCCGGGATATATCATGTCTTCTAACTAGCGGGCTGGGCGGTCCTGCTGGCGCAAATATAGCCCGCTGGTGGATATATAGGCCCTTTTAACTAATTGAAACATCTTACATGTGAGAATCGGTACAGGGCGTATGTGTACATTTAACTTTTCAAATTTTAACTTTTCAAATTTATTTCTTTAAACAGCACATTCCAACAATTTGTTAGGGCATATGTCAACATGTGCCCTTTTATTTTATTAATATCAGTAGCAGTTCAGTTTATTGAAAAAGGACTATGTTAATATAAGCCCTTTTAAACAAGGTCAAGAATTGCGCCCGTTGTTTCGTTTTGGCGGACGCTAGATTTCCATTTCACATTTACTATAAAGTATAAGCTCCAATCAGCTCACTTCAGTCTTCATGATAATAATATTGATAAATTATGCATTAAGTACAGGAGACACTTGAAATTCAGTTCAATTGCCAAAGAACTTAACTTGTAAAGCAAAGAACTTAAATTGTAAGCAAAGGTAAACTATACTCGTGTACACATCAATACACTACGCGTGCCACGTACAAATTGGGCTTATAACCTAATATTATACATTACATCGTATACATTAAAACACAGGTGCGCCGCGCATTCATAGATCACAGGCTATCTATACATCACATCTCCGCAAGCAATCCTCGCGCGCGCAACTTTTTCGTTGACATGGTTACTAACGTAAGGACTGACGACATATTCAGACCCACCTACTGCAATCTCCAAAATCCACGTTTTTCTGCAAAAACGTCCATTCGTAACCTTTCACTATTGCCTTTTTTCAAAAGGGTGAAAAGGAAAAAATTGAAGATATTCAATTTTCACTCAATTGACTTTATATTTGGGGATATGGTAGGTATGGTTCCACAGATTTTCGTGCTGGTATAGTTTTTAAAAGGGCCTATGTCGACATATGCCCTTTCTATTTTTAGGTGACGATATGTGAACGACCCCTTAGCGCACATCCGGAAAATCCCAGCCGAATTGGAGCTTAAAATGAAAAATAATCTACAAAAGCGAGTCTCCAAAAATAGAAGCAGCAGCAAAAGATGCTCTCGAAACTAATCACATGAAAATTCTTAAATGGATATTGGGTGTTCACAAGAGAGCAAATAACATATTTTGTTATAGGCCACTAAACTTAGAAATTGAAAGATGGGATAATCAGTTTCAATGAGTGACCATGTTGCGAGTATCTGAACATGTCTTGCAGATATTATTAAGTTGGAGCCAATCTTAGCACGGATCTATCGGATAGTAGTAAGATTTTTAATGCAATAATTTTCTTTATATCCACCCAGTGAAGATTGATCAGGTCATCCTCAAGATGGTCGTGTTAATTTAGTGGAACAACACATTTACGGTCCTGGAGTTGAAAAGCATTACTTGAATAGAAATTTAATCCAGCAGGATTAAATTAACTCCATTGAACTGGAGGGTAAACCGCGGTCAGATGGCTGATAAAGAAACACGTGAACTTTAACCACATGCACTGTTATTGTTTGGACTAAATCTTAAATTACCCTTGAAGAGGTAGTCAGACTAGATAAACGGTGAAAACATTTAAAGATTTATTAGTTCATATGAGCCTGTGTTTGTTCCTGGACCTCATAACACCAACTGGTGAGTAAAGAAGTGAAGCAGGCACGTGCAGCTCCACTGCAGTACCTTTTGTTAAACTAACTTTCTCGGAACCGAATTCTGCCCTTCCCTAAAAGTCGAACAAAAATACAGAGAGTTTTTATTAGTGAACATGCGCTCTAAGAATTTGCACGTGTTGGAGCATTATTCTAGAAACAAAGAGCTTTTATCAATAAACGCACCGGTGGTTTGTCGACATCGTAGGTCCATCGGGCCACCTCATATATCCAAACCCTATTACTTATTCCCTACGATCTTTTTGCCTTGGGCAAGAGTAGGGGAAAAAATGAGTTAGAGATCTGAAACTTTGCAGGGCGTCTAAACGTTGACCAAATCGACTGTAAAAAGTTTCAGGAGTATCGGGAAGTGGGTTTTCTGGAACCCCTGTTTTACAACAGATTGTCGTGAAGTATATGTATGTATATATATCCATAGACACAGTGTTTCGTCCTATTAGGACTCATCAGAATGGCTCAAATCGTCAGGGCTGGTTTTGCTGATGGCGGGTATCGATCCGGCAACCTTACGATTACTGGCTCGGAACCACGACACTGAGCTACCAAGCCCCTAATGATGAGGGAATTACATAGGTACCAGAGTGCTCTACAAACTCATTACGAGTTAGGACCTTTGCATTTAAGCTGAGCGGTAGATCTATTCATTCCCTAGAGTGCTCAAGCTTAGTAAACTAGGCGAGCATATTTATCCATAGACACAGTGTTTCGTCCTATTAGGACTGTATGTATATATATATAGACGCTTTGGCAGTCAATTGCAGTCAATTGTAGCCTACATTCAAGTGTCCGTAGATTCAAAACTCAAAAGTATAAACGATACAGCCATCTAGAACCACAGATCTTGAAGATAATCGTTTACACTTTAGTTACCATTATATTAAAAAATAATTTAACGTCATCATCAACACTTGATGACGTCATCAAATTAGGTGTTTTTAAAACTTTTTGACAAAATAACAATTTTTCAAATCGATTTGAAACCATTAAGGAGTAATTTTATTCAAAATCTGAGGAAATTTTCATCTTAGATAATTGTTCAAGCATTCTGAAAATCTACCGGAAAATTTTCCTACCTTGCTCCTTCATAAAGATATTTGGCAATTCGGTAGTGTGGCAAAGCACGGTTAACGCACGGTTAAGGCACGGTTAAAGCACAGTTAAGGCACGGTTAAGGCACGGTTAAGGCACGGTTAAGGCACAAGGGTTACATAAGGCACGGTTCTTAAGGCACGGTTAACGCACGGTTAACGCACGGTTAAGGCACAAACTGCCCAAAAGCAACCATTATGGTCGCTTAAGGCACGGTCAACACACGGTTAACGCACGGTTGGGGAAAAATAACCTATAAACATACAAGTGGTTAACTAAGGCACATGATCTGAATGTGGCGATCTGTAAATTTTACAGTGCGATTCCCGCTATGAATGTGGCCACATTGCCACCATATGCCCGAGGACTACCTACACTCCTACCCCTCCTTCCCTGACCTGTAACCACTGTAACCGGGCTTGCAGAAGTGGATGGAGCGACGAGCCAGAGGGTCATCAGATGATCGTTGTAGTCGATCCCTGTCAGACACACGCTACTCCTGTAGTCAGACCGACAAGATCGAACCCTGCACCTACAAATTCTCGTACCGCCGCTGTTCGTCCTAGCAGACCTCCTCCTCCTCCCACACCTATTGTTCCTGCTTCCAATCCCAACGCCGCTCCTACTGCTCCTACCGCTCCTACCGCTCCTACCACTCCTACCGCTCCTACCACTCCTACCACTCCTACCACTCCTACCACTCCTACTTTACCTCCATCTGGATCCCCGCCTACCTCTTCCAATGATGCTGTGCCGTGCCTCTACCGTGCCTTATGTAACCCTTGTTCCCTAGCCGTGCATTAACCGTGCCTTAGTTAACCACTTGTATGTTTATATGTCATATTTCCCCAACCGTGCGTTAACCGTGTGTTAACCGTGCCTTATGCGACCATAATGGTTGCTTTTGGGCAGTTTGTGCCTTAACCGTGCCTTAACCGTGCGTTAACCGTGCGTTAACCGTGCGTTAACCGTGCCTTAAGAACCGTGCCTTATGTAACCCTTGTGCCTTAACCGTGCCTTAACCGTGCTTTAACCGTGCCTTAACCGTGCCTTAACCGTGCCTTAACCGTGCTTTGCCACACTACCGAATTGCCAAATATTTGCTATTGAAATTAGTGCTTTTTTGAAGAATATTTTTATAAAAAACACAAAAGTTGTGAATTAGTATTCTCTGGTGTTGGGCCATCCCTTGGATTGTGGGGCTCAATTGTGCTTCCTAAAGGTCTAAATTGTGTTATAAGCTAGTTTTAAAGTTGAAAATTGAAAAGTTGCACACGTGGGGATACGCCCAAATTGATTTAAAATAGCTAAAATCACTGAAAATTGTTATTTTCACGATTTTTATCAACTTTGGAGTCCCGTTGTGATCCAAGTTCTTTTTGAAATCTTCTGAAACTTTGCATGCTTATCAAACTATATATACAATACCACTATGCAAAAATTTACGGTGATTCAATATCGTATGCGCACGCAACGTCCGCTCAAAGTGCACACTTGCGAAAAGTGAGAATTTTGCTCATTCTTGATTTCGAATATATTCTGCTTTCCCACGATATTTAAATGGCATTATATTATATGAATTTAATGTCAACTTGAATGAGTAAAAAGTGCCATATTCAGTCTTTTATCAACAGATATACCTACCTAAACACAAGGAAATGTTTTCAAAGGTAAAATTTCGAAATCGTTGAAATTACCTCCTTATTAATGAAGTTTTGACTGTGTTAATTATCCTGACATTATAATCAAAAAGAGATGATATTTGACCAAAACCCACAATCATGGGTAGAGTGAACCGCTGCCAGTGCCTCTCTTTTCCAAACAAAAGGAAATGATATTAATTTGAGGAACCGTCCGCAAATGCAAATTGATACCGAGAATGAAATCGGTCGCTCGCTTTTCCCGTTCGAATTCACGGCTTACGAATTGTAATAAAGCTTATTGAATGGGAAAAGCGACCGACCGATTTCATTCTCGGTATCAATTTGCATTTGCAGACGGTTCCTCAAATTAATATCATTTCCTTTTGTTTGGAAAAGAGAGACACTGGCAGCGGTTCACTCTACCCATGATTATGGGTTTTGGTCAAATAAATAATTTAATACACATTTCTAGCTGTTAAATTCGGCCTTTATACAGAGGACGTATAGAGGCCGTATGGAGGCCGTATAAAGGCCATGTAATATATCTTTTAAGTGGCCGTATAGAGGCCGTATAGTGGCCGAATAAAAAACCTAATCGCCCAATTTCCCGATGCCGCTGACCTAAGAACTCACGTGGTTATCCGTTATCACTTATCGAATTAGGAAAAACCCGAAATATTTTGTAAATTTATGATTTATCTCTCAAGGATCTTGCTCTCTACTTCTCTAGTAAGTAAAGTAAAGCTTAACTACTAACTATGCATAGTTACTAGTAAACAAAACCGCTTACAGGCTTCGTCTTTATAAAGGCTATTACAGGCATTTTCTGATCGATACACTAGGGACTCCAGATACACATTTCTAGACGTATTTTTGACCGTAGAATCGATTAAAAGTGGTTTTGAAATGATAAGTCTGAGTTTCCCCGGGTAAAATCGCAGAAAAGCGATTTTTGGGCCAGAAAATAGGCCAAAAAACCATGTTTTTTGATATTTTGAGCAAGTTTACTTTGTTACCATGTCGTCAAAATTTGCACGAAGATAGCTAAAACACGGCCGCACAAATTGGTATAAAATAAAACAAATACCTTTTCCCCGGGTAAAAATCAAAAATGTGGTCAAAATGTGCCCTTTTTTGCTTAAATTTGGAATAATTGTCTGCCGTTATAGTAAATTAATCCAAAAATAGTTGTATCGTGTTTGCCTACATTTTTCCTTTTCGAGAAGTACCAAGATATACTTTAGCGAGGTTTGAATATTGTCACTACAAAAGCGTTTTTGACATATTTTCGAGGCGCACTACACGCAATCGGCACCCGCGCGTTCAAATTTCAAACAGCCATAACTCAGCGGGATTAGATTTGTTTTAGGTCATATTTTCACACCAAATAAAAAACAATGTAATCTTATTGCTGACAAAATATTAATATAATTACTCCATTGGCCTAAAACTTAAAGACTGTCAAAGTTTAAAACGCGCATTGGTATAGCACGTGACTAATAAGGTCATATTTATATTTCTTAGCATATTCTTGATCCTTACACATCATACTATTGTGTCCAATTAATGGTTAGGTCTCCAAACTCATATAAGCAGAAAATACGTATTTTTGTCCGTAAGAGCCTCTACTACTTGCTTCTGCTTGGATTAACGTTAGTTATAAATTTCTTCCAATGAATATTAATTCTGCAATAAATATTAATTCATTTTAAATATTAATCAAACCGTTAATCTTGACAATTTGTTGACGATTCCTGATGATCTTGACGATTCCTGACGATTTGTGTACATCTAGAATTTAGATTTTAGGCCAATTTAAGGCAAATCTGTAACCCCTCCCCCTTCCATAATTATTTTTACACAAGCTGTTGTGTAAAAATACACTAACATAATCATTTGGAAACCCCCCTCCCCCCTCGGTTGATAATGATTACGTAATATCGTCACCTACAAATGGAAGGGGAAACCCCCCTCCCCCCTCGGTTGATAATGATTACGTAATATCGTCACCTACAAATAGAAAGGGCGTATGTCGAAAAAAGTCGTTTTGAGATAATGCATAAAAACCTATTTATGGAAATTAACTTTCGGATAGGCATTTGAATTTGATTTCTATGTATCCTAAATGGAAAGAATGACTGGCCTACACTCTGAAAATGTTCCTGAAGCTTTTCAATTAATTGAGGTAATTGATTTAATTTTGACAAAGGCCAATTTAAAACAAAATTCGATACATAGGCCCTTTTAACTAATTGAAACATCTTACATGTGAGAATCGGTACAGGGCGTATGTGTACATTTAACTTTTTAAATTTTAACTTTTCAAATTTATTTCTTTAAAAACATCACATTCCAACAATTTGTTAGGGCATATATTGAAAAATAATCTACAAAAGTGAGTCTCCCAAAATAGAAGCAGCAGCAAAAGATGCTCTCGAAACTAATCACATGAAAATTCTTAAATGGATATTGGGTGTTCAAAAGAGAGCAAATAACATCTTCTGTTATAGGCCACTAAACTTAGAATTTTAAAGATAGGATAATCAGTTTCAATGAGTGACTATTTTGTAAGTATCTGAACATGTCTTGCAGATAAGTTAGAGCCAATCCTAGCAAGGATCTATCGGATAGTAGTAAGATTTTTAGTGCAATAATTTTCTTTATATCCAGCCAGTGAAGATTGATCAGGTCATCCTCAAGATGGTTGTGTTAATTTAGTGGAACAACACATTTACGGTCCTGGAGTTGAAAAGCATTACTTGAATAGAAATTTAATCCAGCAGGATTAAATTAACTCCATTGAACTGGAGGGTAAACCGCGGTCAGATGGCTGATAAAGAAACACGTGAAGTGTGAACTTTAACCACCTGCACTGTTATTGTTTGGAGTAAATCTTAAATTTCCCTTGAAGACTAGATAAATGGTGAAAACATTTAAAGATTTATTAGTTCATATGAGCCTGTGTTTGTTCCTGGACCTCATAACACCAACTGGTGAGTAAAGAAGTGAAGCAGGCACGTGCAGCTCCACTGCAGTACCTTTTGTTAAACTAACTTTCTCGGAACCGAATTCTGCCCTTCCCTAAAAGTCGAACAAAAATAGAGAGAGTTTTTATTAGTGAACATGCGCTCTAAGAATTTGCACGTGTTGGAGCATTATTCAAGAAACAAAGAGCTTTTATCAATAAACGCACCGGTGGTTTGAAGTAGGCTGATAAGTTGACATGGTGCAGTGTGGGGAGGCCCTGTGAAACAAGCTGCGCCGGTAAGACTGCAGTAGTCAGAGAGCCCTGTGGAGGCGGGATTGAGGAGAGTTACGAATATTATATAAGCAGCGGTCTGAGGTCCAGATATCAGAAGGTAGCCTCAGTTTTATTGGACCGTATCGTTATGACGTGTCAACTGCCAACCGGCAAGTTCCCATGCAACAACAATCAGCATCGTGATTGAAGGCAGGGTCATTTTATAATTGCTTGGTTTTTTACCTTAGAGTTGTTATAACCCCAATTTAATGTATTATAGATTTTTCTGTAATGTTCGGCATTTTGTTCAATTTTAATCAGGGTTTAACTGTATTCGGTTAAGAAAATTAGCTAATAGCTACTATTTAACTACCAATGATTGGGTCATCTTCTTGTTAATTTAAACAGACAAGTAATAATTAAACAATTAGGGTTTAAGTTAAAATAACAACCATATTTATAAATGATCAGTATTCAATATTCAGTAATCTTAAACCAGGATCATGTTTTTGCAACTCGTAACAGCTCTGCTAGCCCTCCATTGCACCATCCCCACTATATCGGCATCAGAGAGATCCTTACCAAAGGCACTGCAGTTCGGTACCGGACGTTATGACAACGTAAAGTATACATATATAGATATTAGCCAGGTTAAACACGCCCTAACGGTATGTTCATGGGTTAAAAAGAAGCTGACTGGCCTCTATAGATCTTGGTTTAACTACAGAACGTCCACACACCCTTACGAGATCCTAATATCAGATGCTGGCCACTACAACGTCATTCACAACACCAACAACGACCTGAGAAGTGCTCTTATAGTACCCTTCAACACGTGGACTCATCAATGTCAAAGTTGGTCAACAAGCAATGGGACAATGAAGACCTACTATAATGGTACTCTGATAGGGTCTAAAAATGTTTCCTCAGCTCCATTAGAAGAGGGAGGTCACCTCATTCTGGGGCACACTTACGACTACCGTCACACACACGCATTCGGAGGGCAGCTGATGAAACTAAATATCTTCGGAAAAGTGCTCAGTCAAGGAGAAATTACAGAGTTATACAACGCTGGGAGATGTTCCGATGTAGAAAAGAAGCACCAGGTCAGGTACATCACCTGGGAGAAAATCCTGAGTCTGCGCAGAAGTGGACGTGTCACAGAAGTGGACTCTGGGTGTGCTGCTGAAGAAGAAGAGGAGGAAGAAGAGGAGGAAGAAAAGGGGGAAGAAAAGGATGATAATGAGTGTACTGACAGTATTTTGGACATACTCTATGATCAGACCTATTTTAACCAAACACTGACCGCCGAGAAACTTGCAAAAGTAAAATATGTTTGGAAGATGATGGGTAAGTGCATGTTTTTAAAAAAACCATATTTTTATTTATTATAACTACGTTATTGTACGTGAAATAATTCATTTTATGCAATAATCTGAGTTATTGATTTTCAGATCGTTTTGTCGGTTCGATGATCAGTTCGATGCCAGTAGAGGAAGATGACAGCAGCTAGAGAACCGAAGCAAGGGGGAGCATTAATCGGTAAGTTAGAGGAAGATGACAGCAGCTAGAGAACCAAAGCAAGGGGGAGCATTAATCGGTAAGTTAATTTTTGTAATATGCAATAATTATGTATGTACTAGTAATCATAAATTCAGTTTGCTGATTTACAATTATCAGATTTTTTATTAGTGTAAATATTACTGGTCATCACACCAATGAATCGTCTCTGGCTTGTAAATTTTCTCGTATTAATAAACTACACTAGTGAATTAAAGTTAAACCACTATTAATCGATATCAAACCTTCAGGTCCAACTAAAAAGTACTGTGTTCTCCCAATGGCTGTCTGGTTACTAATTTGGAAACAAGGATCTACTTTCTCTGATACGTATCATGGGTCTGATGTCAGGGTTTTTAACCGGTTTTCAGAACAGTAACCCGTTTTAGAACATTCTTAACAATTGTTATTACAATAGTTATATCGACCCTATATTTTTAACAATAGTTTTATTATCAATTATTGGCATTTTGATGTCAGGTATTTGTTTTACGGACCGGTTGTCATTGCAGTGACACATTTTAGAACATTTAGAACATCAGTTTATTGACCCCTATACTATTCAGTTGAGACTTGAGTGCCATTTTAGAACATTTTTGATAATTATTTTAATAATGACTCTTAGTTGATAGAGCCAATCTTGGCGAAAACTAGTATCTTATTAAGATACGTTTAAAAAAATTCTTAGTCTTACATTAAAAGTATGGTAGGTGAATTGACAATAATAATATGTTATAGGGAACTTAGAGATTTTTCAACATGAATGCTTTTATCAATTATGATTTGAAACGATTTAAATTTTATTCGCGGAAATCGTATCATTAATTGGTTCAAATATATAGCTGGGTTAAATGGGGATCAGGGCTTTTTGAACCCGTTTCCATAACAGTAACCCGTTTTAGAAAATATTAAAATTTTATTATAGATAATAAACTGTTTAATTTGTTCAAATACAAGCTTTCATTGCTTTTAATTCTGATCTGAATTGTGTAATATCTATATTATAGAATACCGATCCTAAAACAATAATGGGAGGCATATCTCTGGTAAATTATGTGGTTTTCAACATAAAACTGGTCCTCTTATAGTAGTCCATCTGTACAACTGTGTACAAGACATTAGAGAGAGTTCTGATATTATTGTGAAATAAGGATTATAAAATTAATTGCTTGGTATGACCCTGCCTTAATGGTAGCGCTATCTGGATTCTAGGATGCAGGCGCCGTATTAAGTTGAGATGTAGCAGATCAGGATATTGTGTTTAGAGCAGCTCTCTGTATATAATACTACGATCTTGAATTTACTGAGTATCGGAAATACTAACAAGAAATGCGGCCGCTTTTCTTTTGTGGATGGCCGCTCAATTTCCCGATCCGTGATGGAGTATTTTATCATATTCCATAATCCATATCACCTGGGGACCCCAGTCTTTACTGTTTATAAGCATGCAAATATGGCGGAGTGACAGGCCGAGCGCCGCCCAGTTGATATAATTCTATATTGAATTTGAAAATCGTGTATATTTCTATGTAACCATATGTTTATTGTTTATGCAACCTGACACGGATCTGTGCAAAATAGTAATACTAACTCAAAACATTAATACTATGCTATCAATTAGTCCCTAGCGGGATGCGTACATGGTGAAATTAACAATGTACTTGAACATTTCAGCACCGCGCGCCAACAATTGTTTAATTCAGATAATCGCGCAAAATAACTTTGCGCAGGCAGACACGTGGGCGACACGTACGCACGCACGCACGCTCGCACGGTCGCAAAGCTACCATATCCAAAAAAACCTCGATCGCTAACCCTTGTCCTTGACTCTTTTGTGCCTTCGGCACTTTGAGTCATGGATCGGGAAAAAATAGTATGAGACCAAATACCCGTGTAGGGGCCATATAGTGGCCGTATAAAGGCCATTATATAGAGGCCATTATATAGAGGCCGTATAGAGGCCGTATAGAGGCCGTATAGTGGCCGTATAGAGGCCAAACCTAATCGCCCAATTTCCCCACACTGGAAACACACTGGAAACACACTGGAAACACACTGGAAACACACTGGAAACACACTGGAAACACACTGGAAACACACTGGAAACACATTTGGTATACTGTTTTAAGTAACTGCTCTACAGTGAGATAAACTAACCAAACTGAAGACCCCCAAGTTTCCTAGCGGCGGATAGTAAGGGATCCAGATAACTTATCTCCGCTTCAACCTCTACATCATGCCTAACTTCCATCTTCAGTTTATCTGAAAATAGTTGCGGTTAAACAAGACAATGCGTATTTATTATAAACTAAATATTTTCACAATAATCTTTAGTGTTACCATCCCCAAGATCTCTTTGATCTTAAGTGAGAGAGAGAGAGAGATAGAGAGAGAGAGAGAGAGAGAGAGAGAGAGAGAGAGAGAGAGAGAGAGAGAGAGAGAGAGAGAGAGAGAGAGAGAGAGAGAGAGAGAGAGAGAGAGAGAGAGAGAGAGAGAGAGAGAGAGAGAGAGAGAGAGATAGAGAGAGAGAAGTGATTTCTCTGTTTAATCAATAACAGTAACTCTGGATAACACTCAAGAGCTCCCACGATTATCTTCACATTCAACAACTTCGCACGTATACTGATCCAGCAAGTTGAATAGCACTGAAACTACTTGACACTTTCGTGCAGCTTAACTCGTGCACTAATCCACTTTCTAGTATGTTAAGCTTCTCCTGCTCTCTCTCCAGCTCTCTCTCTCTCTCTCTCTCCAGCTCTCTCTCCAGCTCTCTCTCTCTCTCTGTTTTAAAGTAACTGTAACCACACTATTGCTAGTCTCCATGTGCCGTGCTTACGAACACAGTAACAAGCGACAAGCACTGCTATCTTGCTATCTAGCTGCAATCTCACTCTTCCTGAGTTTTGTTACGTTTTGTCTGCTGTGCTTTCCGCCTCGAGTTTTGTATCGTGCGGGGGAAACGATAACCAGAAGTGAAAGTGAAAGTGAAAGTGAAAGAAGATGGATACGATGGAGTTTGACGACAACCTATTGACCAAATCAAACGACATGAACGATATCCCCATAGAAACGCACATAGCATTCGACATTCTGATGATAATCTTCATAATCCTGTCCCTGTTCTTCAACACTCTGGTATCTAATGTGTACTACCGTAACGGCCACATTATCACCCACCAAGGTGTACTGGTTATCACCCTCATTGTTTCTAACCTGCTCTGGACAATAGGAATCTTCCCTTTCTCTCTAGCCGCTGGTCTGGTACAGGACCCAGAGGAGGAGTCTCTGAGTCAGGGGCTCTGGATATTCCAGGACCCAGTGTGTGGAATAGTAGGGTTTGGGAACGCAGTGGTTCCTCTAGGTAAACTCTTCACTGTCATCCTGATGTTGGGGGAGCGAGCTGTAGCTATCCTTCTGGAGCCGCATTACAAGAAGATAATGAACAAGTGGCTGTTTGCTGGGTTCGTGTTGCTGGCCTGGCTCCTTGCTTCCCTCTGTGGTGTTATACCACCTGCTCTAGGTTTCTACTCTGATATCTCCCCGGGGAAGGGAACCTGTTTCCCTCCTCTAAATGTGTACGCTGCACTTGTGTTCTACATACTGTTCCTGCTAGGAGGGGTAGCTATCATCCTCCTCATCTCCAAGAAGAGAGAGAGGGAAGAGGATACGGACCCTGTCCCTCTGCCTCCCTCCGCTCCCACTTACTCCGCCTCTATCCAGACAGTAGGAGTAGGCAGGAAACAACTCCGAGCCTCACAAGGCAAGATAGTGATCGACTACGAGCGAGGAAAGTTCGAGACTATCTCCTCCCCTGCCTCCAACTCGTCCGGTATCGTGCTGAAGTCTCCTCTGAAACAGGAGCTGACTTCTAAACCTGACAAGGACCTGGTGGATTACGATCTGCACACAGGGAAGAGTAAGATGAGTAAGGAGTATAACGGAGTGCTGGCTCTGTTCACCCTCTACGCAATAGTGTACCTCCCCTTTGCTATCTGCAGTGTAGTAGCAGTGCCAGTAGGGATAGATAACGTGGTGACCCTCCTCCTCTACAGTACTACCTGGCTGGAACCCCTCTTACTACTCCTCACCAGGGTCCTGCTCAGGAGGGCCATTGATAGAATGTGTTTTGAGGTGTGCTGTGTGGAGCTCCAGTGCTGTGTCAGCAGGTAGGAGGTGAAAGTGAAAGTGAAAGTGAAAGTGAAAGTGGAAGTGAAAGGGAAAGTGAAATGTCATTATGGACAATAAGGGCGGCAACGGCTTGGTTACAACAACACACCAAACGTAGAATGGACCAATATCAGCGAAGTAAGAACTTATAACAGAGACTGTGTATAAGAGACAGCAGACGGACCTGCTGATGAAGCTGTGAGAACTGTGAGATTACATTTTTAGTTTTGATAAACATTATGATTTCAGTTATTCTTGTGATAAAACTTTGTGTCTCATTTGTCCTAACACCAAGGATTATACAATTGAAGGCCGGGTTAGTATTAGTTTCATTATATTTCTAATTGTAAACCCACTTTTATTCATAAAGCACGAAATTCTAAAAATATGACCGTAAGATTCAGTCTCACAAAGCCAACTTTTATACTCTTCATTTCATACAAATTTAATAAATAGCAATATTAACAACAAAATATAATATTATTACCTGTTTTGTAGTTGTTCTCTCTACACAAGGTTATAAAGGGGGTGTGGCGGTTTGGAGGAATTGTGCTGAACACTTTCACCGGACACTTCAGATCACCGTCATAGCGCACTCCTGGGGTCAGGGTGGTTAACCTGGTTACCTGGTAACCGGTCATAGCGCACTCCTGGGGTCAGGGTGGTTAACCTGGTTACCTGGTAACCGGTCATAGCGCACTCCTGGGGTCAGGGTGGTTAACCTGGTTACCTGGTAACCGGTCATAGCGCACTCCTGGGGTCAGGGTGATTAACCTGGTTACCTGGTAACCGGTAACCTGGTTACTGTTAACCTGGTAGCCTTGTAACCTGGTAACTGATTACCTGGTAAACTGGTAACCTGGTTACTAGTCATAGGAAGCTTGATTGAAAAATATGCTTCAAAGATACAGGAGGGATAAAATCGCAAACATTATCTAATAAAATATTCGAATTATTTAAAAGAATATGTTTATATTAGTTAATTAAGGTTGCAATCTAACCAGTAGAGTCAGTAGATATATTAAGTGTGGCGGTGAAGAGAGAGAGAGAGAGAGAGAGAGAGAGAGAGAGAGAGAGAGAGAGAGAGAGAGAGAGAGAGAGAGAGAGAGAGAGAGAGAGAGAGAGAGAGAGAGAGAGATGTTAGTTAATTAAGGTTGCAATCTAACCAGTAGAGTCAGTAGATATATTTAGTGTGGTGGTGAAGAGAGAGAGAGAGAGAGAGAGAGAGGGGGGGAGAGAGAGAGGGGGGAGAGAGAGAGAGAGAGAGAGAGAGAGAGAGAGAGAGAGAGAGAGAGAGAGAGAGAGAGAGAGAGAGAGAGAGAGAGAGAGAGAGAGAGAGAGAGAGAGAGAGAGAGAGAGAGAGAGAGGTTAGTTAATTGAGGTTGCAATCTAACCATTAGAGTCAGTAGATATATTTAGTGTGGCGGTGAAGAGAGAGGCTCTGATGACATCTCCAGCGGGAAGGGAGCACGCGGACAAAACACCCTGTTCTACCGTACATTCTAGCAGACTTAGTAGCTCTAGCTCTTCTGATACCGGGATAGTGTAGTGTCCTGAAACAGGGAGGGTTAGAGAGGGTTAGAGGGAGTTAGTGTCAGGGTAAATAAGTCAGAGTGAGTGTTTCCCTTAATAATGCCAACTCACCTGCCCCGGATATCTGGTCCCCTGCTCGAGGAACAGGAGAGTAAGATGATTAATAACTCACCTGCCCCGGATACCCCTGCTCGAGGAACAGGTATTCTCTCGTAGAGTAGGAGAGTAAGATGATTAATAACTCACCTGCCCCGGATATCTGGTCCCCTGCTCGAGGAACAGGAACTCTCTCGTAGAGTAGGAGAGTAAGATGATTAACTGCAAACATAGTCTCGTAACAATCCACTTTGTTTACTGACTTGCTCTTCCTGTGAGAGCAGTGTTCAGGTCTCACTAGAGCTTGTGTGTCACGTGTCACTTTTACTAGTATATCTATTATAGTAGTCGGATTCTTCTGCTTTCAGCAGGATACGATTATGTACATTTTATAATACGATGAAACATTTACTGATTTACTTGATCGTCTACATGATAATGTGGTAAGCATAAATTAACAGTATGTAAAGGCCAGTCTGTAAGTCTAGAAAGACCACATGTGAGTGGTAAGTAAGAAATGTAGTGATATCAAAACGAGTACCTGTCTACAGTTACAGTAGCCCCGGAAGATGGGAGTTGGTTAGCTAGTAGGAGAAGCAGTTCTATTTGGTCCACTGCCAGCTGTACTTTGAGCGGGTCCACATGCACCTCCATTGAGGAACCGTAAATACCAAACTAAAGGTTAGTATAGGGTTACTGGGAGGAGAATATTTTGCAAACACTAAGATATAACCCTTCTTATTCTACTTCTATTATTATTACATTATCAGTACTCTATTAGTAAGCAGTAATAACACTTACCTTACTACCAGACCTCGTTGCTATGACACTGGGGGCGTACGTTACCCTCATATCAAGTCCTTGTATTATTGTAGCTGATATTTCGTCACATGACGACAGCTTCCTGCAGAAGAGGAGGTTTAGTTGGGAGAAGAAAAGGTCTGGGATTGTATTCTGTATCATAGCTCTTGTTCAAGAGAAATTGTAAAAAGTAGACCTGGACACAAGTATAATAATACAGTAGAATAATACGGTAGAGATTTCTAGAAACCTCTGTCCCCAGGCTTCAGCAGCATTGGTAATGTTTTGTGGTATTTCAGGGCTGGATATCCTGTCTGAGTAAACTTCTAACCCTGTTAGTTCTATCTGGAGCTGGTAGTTGCACCTGAAGGAGGAGAGACTTGAGCTGGACATAAAAACTATTAAATAACACTCGACACAGTTCAGTAAGGCCAAATCAAGCTGAAACTTATAGGTAGGATATCACCAACTCCCATGACGCACAACTGTCCTAATCGCTTCCATAAACTCATAAAGTAGTGTAGACCCATATGACAGCACTAAAACACCACTAATAATGATGCACTCAGTTCGAAGAGCTGTCCTGGCCACGTGGGCGCAGGAAGATGACGCATTTATTTATTACGCGCAATTGGCGCGTTTCCTAACTGTGAGCCGTGTCAACTCATTGACTTAGATCTCTCGCGCGTTACGCGAAATTAAAATGTAGACTCTCCAAATGGAATTCCATTTCGCTTACACAAACATATCGGTAAATTAACTTATTTGAAACATTTAGGAGGGTTAATCTTGAGCTTTTAATCAACATAATATTGATTAACAAAATAATCATGTTCTACGTACATTCTCAACTGGGAATAACACAAAGGAAGAACACCTCGGTATCACTAGCTGAACAAACTAGCATTCCCCTATTATAATCGGGCACCGCGACAATTGACCCCCCGACTATGTAATTAAACTGGGGTCAATTGTCGCGAAATCTAGGGTTAGGGTTAGGGTTGGGGATAGGGTAAGGGTTAGGATTAGGGTTAGGGTTAGGGTTAGGGTTAGGGTTAGGGTTAGGGTCAGGGTTAGGGTTAGGGTTAGGGTTAGGGTTAGGGTTAGGGTTAGGGTTAGGGTTAGGGTTAGGGTTAGGGTTAGGGTTAGGGTTAAGTATAGGGTTAGGGTTAGGGTTAGGGTTAGGGTTAGGGTTAGGGTTGGGTTAGGGTTAGGGTTAGGGTTAGGGTTAGGGTTAGGGTTAGGGTTAGGGTTAGGGTTAGGGTTAGGGTTAGGGTTAGGGTTAGGGTTAGGGTTAGGGTTAGGGTTAGGGTTAGGGTTAGGGTAGGGGGGGGGGGGGGGTGGTTAATTGTCGGGGGTAAATTGTCGGGGGGTCAATTGTCGCCCACCCTATAATTTTACCCATTATTTAGTTTGACCACTGTTGAGAACTTTAATCTGGATAAGTACAGACTGTATTTATATTGGTTCAAAGTAAATTAAAGACTATTCTTCTGCCAGTCGTATTTTAAAGACTTCGAGAAGTAGAAAGATGTGTAACATTATGGCATACGGACGACGGAAACTCATTTAAATGATTGAAATATTATATTATAAGTTAAATAATTACATTGTATATATCAGCAGTTATAGTTGTATAAACTACTGAACACAGTAGATGTAACTATTAGTAGTAACTCACATTAAATACCATTACTTTGGTGCACAGTGACAGTCATACAAATCATATAGAGTGTTCCAACAGCAAAACAACACAACCCAACTAAAGTAACAACTAGTATAAGTAAAGTTAGAAACAGTGAACATTTAACCAAGTTAACCTTTACACGGTACATGGTAACTTCACACACTACTACTAGTCAATATATATACTAGGTAACAGCACTAGCTTGTAGGTAGATAGTTTGTGTACAATTTCCTTGTGTTTTGTTTTTGTTTTAATTGTTCTGTTTTTTTAATGTACCAAGGTTACACATTGTTAACCTATACAATAGTTACAAAGAAATAGAACTTTACAGATAGGAATAAGATAACAACAAACAAACAAACAAACAAACAAACAAACAAACAAACAAACAAACAAACAAACAAACAAACAAACAAACAAACAAACAAACAAACAAACAAACAAACAAACAAACAAACAAACAAACAAACAAACAAACAACTGACCTGGCGTGAGTGTCAGTAGATTTGATGTGTTTGTGGTAACCCTTATCTATAATAACACGAGATAACAGGTTGTCAGGGTTGGAGCTCATTGTAACCAGTGACACGTGACACACTAGCTCGTTATCTAGTGGCTTCTGAAACAGAGGGGTAGTTATTGGTTGTTATTTTAATTGTTATTTTAGCTAGTACTACTGCTACGTGCTAATAAGCGATGGGTACATGTGATTATAATATTTGTACACTGTATCGACAGATATCTATTCAATATTTTATTAATTAACTAATTAACTAATTAACTAATTAACTAATTAACTAATTAGCAAACCTTGGTAGACTTGCTAAGTGGGCATATAATCTCCAGGTCCTGTAACTCCAGTCTGATGTCAGGATAGTAGGCTGTGTTTAGTGTAGTGGGGGTGATTGTCGGGGTCTCTTCTTCCTCGTATACTACAGATACACGTGTATTGGTTATCTAGTTAATTAGATAAATAATTAACTAATTAAGTGTATACGAATTATAAATTAACTGATTTTACAAAATTATATATGATAGAGATAAACCATTGAAATAAACTGACTTGAATAATATATTGGTTGAAATATGGTTGTTAACATTTGGTGTTTTGATTTAGTAGTAGTAGTAGTATTTACCATTGCACTGAAAGTTTGTTGACTGTTCTAGTAACTCCAATAGTTTGAGCACTGCGGGGGCATCTAGCACTGCCTGAACACAAGGATAGTTTTTATATCTGATAATAATTGCATTTCCTTCGTCACTATAATTGTAAGAGCACAATTTGTATGTTAATCCACTGATGTCAGGGCCGGTCTAAGTATAAGTGCCTCACAGAGGTCTAACTCAAATACTAAACCAGTCTTCTAAAAATATTAATCCTTATTTACACTGCGAATAGTAACTGTGCGATTTAAGAGTTCAAGCTGAGGGGGTTTCCTTGTGTTTTGTAAAAAAGTGTGAAGTATTTAGCACTTGGTAGACTTAAAGGGATCATGAAGTGTCCCCGACTTAATCGTCAAAACATTTCACATATACTATCACATAGAAACAGTAATATAAGAATAGGGCTCGGAATTCCCAGATTCGTAACTTAATTATGTCGCGTGTAATCGATACAGGAAGATCGCCCTAATTTGTTGGATTGCGGCTAACTGTCAGACACTGCAATAGAAACAGTGTTAAAATGCACATTTTTATTCATGTGCTGTGGCGCCAATTTAATTGATAAAATCTCCAAATTAACGACACTTGATAGATTTGACTTTTATCTTTCGAAAAATGTGGCTGTATAATGTGCATAATATACACAAGCGTCAAATAATTGTCTTATAAGTTTACGTACTGCTGTGTAATGTTGTAGGAAGAAAAACATTCAATTACCAAACGCTAAATAACAATACACGTTAGTAAGAACCTATTACCTAAATTAACCTTAAAGTATAATTAGTTTTTTCTTGATACAAACAATTACTTGTTAAGTTCATGGTAAAATATGTCCATCATCAGTTCCGATACAGATAAAACCCGTATACCTTGATCCATCTGTTGAGTGCTGACAGACGATGGAAAACAATATTACTACTTAACAGGGTGTTTTGTTTGTAATCTGAGGAAATTATTTCCACACATAAAGTTCATAATACAAATGTTGGTGAAGGATTTCTATCTAATTAAATAATGAGCTAATGAGCTAATAGGCTGACCTGAAGCGGCTTGATCTTGATGAAGAAGGACGGGCTAGTGTTCCTCATGTAGTTGTTACAGTGTACTACACTCAGTACAGGGTCGCTACTTGTACTTTGTAACAACGCTACTTCACCCTCCTCACTGCAACAATAGGACAGGTTAATTGTCTAAACTACTAGTTATAGTTATAGTAGCAGCATTATATATAGTAAGATAGTATCTGTGGGGGGGGGGCAGTAGTGGTAACTCAATTTAAGGGTCTCTCGGGGCCCACACAATAAACTGTTAGCTGATAATTATAGATACTCCTCAGGGTAGTACTAAAGGTAGTACTAACTTGATAATGGAGAGGGTTAGAGACCCTATCTTCAGTAGTACTAACTTGATAATGGAGAGGGTTAGAGACCCTATCTTAAGTAGTACTAACTTGATAATGGAGAGGGTTAGAGACCCTATCTTAAGTAGTACTAACTTGATAATGGAGAGGGTTAGAGACCCTATCTTAAGTAGTACTAACTTGATAATAGAGAGGGTTAGAGACCCTATCTTAAGTAGTACTAACTTGATAATAGAGAGGGTTAGAGACCCTATCTTAAGTAGTACTAACTTGATAATGGAGAGGGTTAGAGACCCTATCTTAAGTAGTACTAACTTGATAATGGAGAGGGTAAGAGACCCTATCTTAAGTAGTACTAACTTGATAATAGAGAGGGTTAGAGACCCTATCTTAAGTAGTACTAACTTGATAATAGAGAGGGTAAGAGACCCTATCTTAAGTAGTACTAACTTGATAATAGAGAGGGTTAGAGACCCTATCTTAAGTAGTACTAACTTGATAATAGAGAGGGTTAGAGACCCTATCTTAAGTAGTACTAACTTGATAATAGAGAGGGTAAGAGACCCTATCTTAAGTAGTACTAACTTGATAATAGAGAGGGTAAGAGACCCTATCTTAAGTAGTACTAACTTGATAATAGAGAGGGTTAGAGACCCTATCTTAAGTAGTACTAACTTGATAATAGAGAGGGTTAGAGACCCTATCTTAAGTAGTACTAACTTGATAATAGAGAGGGTAAGAGACCCTATCTTAAGTAGTACTAACTTGATAATAGAGAGGGTTAGAGACCCTATCTTAAGTAGTACTAACTTGATAATAGAGAGGGTTAGAGACCCTATCTTAAGTAGTACTAACTTGATAATAGAGAGGGTAAGAGACCCTATCTTAAGTAGTACTAACTTGATAATAGAGAGGGTAAGAGACCCTATCTTAAGTAGTACTAACTTGATAATGGAGAGGGTAAGAGACCCTATCTTAAGTAGTACTAACTTGATAATGGAGAGGGTAAGAGACCCTATCTTAAGTAGTACTAACTTGATAATAGAGAGGGTAAGAGACCCTATCTTAAGTAGTACTAACTTGATAATAGAGAGGGTAAGAGACCCTATCTTAAGTAGTACTAACTTGATAATAGAGAGGGTAAGAGACCCTATCTTAAGTAGTACTAACTTGATAATAGAGAGGGTAAGAGACCCTATCTTAAGTAGTACTAACTTGATAATGGAGAGGGTAAGAGACCCTATCTTAAGTAGTACTAACTTGATAATGGAGAGGGTAAGAGACCCTATCTTAAGTAGTACTAACTTGATAATGGAGAGGGTAAGAGACCCTATCTTAAGTAGTACTAACTTGATAATAGAGAGGGTAAGAGACCCTATCTTAAGTAGTACTAACTTGATAATAGAGAGGGTAAGAGACCCTATCTTCAGTAGTACTAACTTGATAATGGAGAGGGTTAGAGACCCTATCTTAAGTAGTACTAACTTGATAATAGAGAGGGTAAGAGACCCTATCTTAAGTAGTACTAACTTGATAATGGAGAGGGTAAGAGACCCTATCTTAAGTAGTACTAACTCAAGATAATGGAGAGGGTAAGAGACCCTATCTTAAGTAGTACTAACTTGATAATGGAGAGGGTAAGAGACCCTATCTTAAGTAGTACTAACTTGATAATGGAGAGGGTTAGAGACCCTATCTTAAGTAGTACTAACTTGATAATGGAGAGGGTAAGAGACCCTATCTTAAGTAGTACTAACTTGATAATGGAGAGGGTAAGAGACCCTATCTTAAGTAGTACTAACTTGATAATGGAGAGGGTAAGAGACCCTATCTTAAGTAGTACTAACTTGATAATGGAGAGGGTAAGAGACCCTATCTTAAGTAGTACTAACTTGATAAAGGAGAGGGTAAGAGACCCTATCTTAAGTAGTACTAACTTGATAATGGAGAGGGTAAGAGACCCTATCTTAAGTAGTACTAACTTGATAATGGAGAGGGTTAGAGACCCTATCTTAAGTAGTACTAACTTGATAATGGAGAGGGTAAGAGACCCTATCTTAAGTAGTACTAACTTGATAATGGAGAGGGTAAGAGACCCTATCTTAAGTAGTACTAACTTGATAATGGAGAGGGTTAGAGACCCTATCTTAAGTAGTACTAACTTGATAATGGAGAGGGTAAGAGACCCTATCTTAAGTAGTACTAACTTGATAATGGAGAGGGTAAGAGACCCTATCTTAAGTAGTACTAACTTGATAATAGAGAGGGTTAGAGACCCTATCTTTAGTAGTACTAACTTGATAATAGAGAGGGTTAGAGACCCTATCTTAAGTAGTACTAACTTGATAATAGAGAGGGTTAGAGACCCTATCTTCAGTAGTACTAACTTGATAATGGAGAGGGTAAGAGACCCTATCTTAAGTAGTACTAACTTGATAATAGAGAGGGTTAGAGACCCTATCTTAAGTAGTACTAACTTGATAATGGAGAGGGTTAGAGACCCTATCTTAAGTAGTACTAACTTGATAATGGAGAGGGTAAGAGACCCTATCTTAAGTAGTACTAACTTGATAATGGAGAGGGTAAGAGACCCTATCTTAAGTAGTACTAACTTGATAATAGAGAGGGTTAGAGACCCTATCTTTAGTAGTACTAACTTGATAATAGAGAGGGTTAGAGACCCTATCTTAAGTAGTACTAACTTGATAATAGAGAGGGTTAGAGACCCTATCTTCAGTAGTACTAACTTGATAATGGAGAGGGTAAGAGACCCTATCTTAAGTAGTACTAACTTGATAATAGAGAGGGTTAGAGACCCTTTCTTAAGTAGTACTAACTTGATAATAGAGAGGGTTAGAGACCCTATCTTAAGTAGTACTAACTTGATAATAGAGAGGGTTAGAGACCCTATCTTAAGTAGTACTAACTTGATAATAGAGAGGGTTAGAGACCCTATCTTCAGTAGTACTAACTTGATAATAGAGAGGGTTAGAGACCCTATCTTAAGTAGTACTAACTTGATAATGGAGAGGGTTAGAGACCCTATCTTAAGTAGTACTAACTTGATAATGGAGAGGGTAAGAGACCCTATCTTAAGTAGTACTAACTTGATAATGGAGAGGGTAAGAGACCCTATCTTAAGTAGTACTAACTTGATAATAGAGAGGGTTAGAGACCCTATCTTTAGTAGTACTAACTTGATAATAGAGAGGGTTAGAGACCCTATCTTAAGTAGTACTAACTTGATAATAGAGAGGGTTAGAGACCCTATCTTCAGTAGTACTAACTTGATAATGGAGAGGGTAAGAGACCCTATCTTAAGTAGTACTAACTTGATAATGGAGAGGGTAAGAGACCCTATCTTAAGTAGTACTAACTTGATAATAGAGAGGGTTAGAGACCCTATCTTTAGTAGTACTAACTTGATAATAGAGAGGGTTAGAGACCCTATCTTAAGTAGTACTAACTTGATAATAGAGAGGGTTAGAGACCCTATCTTCAGTAGTACTAACTTGATAATGGAGAGGGTAAGAGACCCTATCTTAAGTAGTACTAACTTGATAATAGAGAGGGTTAGAGACCCTATCTTAAGTAGTACTAACTTGATAATAGAGAGGGTTAGAGACCCTATCTTAAGTAGTACTAACTTGATAATAGAGAGGGTTAGAGACCCTATCTTAAGTAGTACTAACTTGATAATAGAGAGGGTTAGAGACCCTATCTTAAGTAGTACTAACTTGATAATGGAGAGGGTTAGAGACCCTATCTTAAGTAGTACTAACTTGATAATGGAGAGGGTAAGAGACCCTATCTTAAGTAGTACTAACTTGATAATGGAGAGGGTTAGAGACCCTATCTTAAGTAGTACTAACTTGATAATGGAGAGGGTAAGAGACCCTATCTTAAGTAGTACTAACTTGATAATAGAGAGGGTTAGAGACCCTATCTTAAGTAGTACTAACTTGATAATGGAGAGGGTAAGAGACCCTATCTTAAGTAGTACTAACTTGATAATAGAGAGGGTTAGAGACCCTATCTTTAGTAGTACTAACTTGATAATAGAGAGGGTTAGAGACCCTATCTTAAGTAGTACTAACTTGATAATGGAGAGGGTTAGAGACCCTATCTTAAGTAGTACTAACTTGATAATGGAGAGGGTAAGAGACCCTATCTTAAGTAGTACTAACTTGATAATAGAGAGGGTTAGAGACCCTATCTTTAGTAGTACTAACTTGATAATAGAGAGGGTTAGAGACCCTATCTTAAGTAGTACTAACTTGATAATAGAGAGGGTTAGAGACCCTATCTTCAGTAGTACTAACTTGATAATGGAGAGGGTAAGAGACCCTATCTTAAGTAGTACTAACTTGATAATAGAGAGGGTTAGAGACCCTATCTTAAGTAGTACTAACTTGATAATAGAGAGGGTTAGAGACCCTATCTTAAGTAGTACTAACTTGATAATGGAGAGGGTAAGAGACCCTATCTTAAGTAGTACTAACTTGATAATGGAGAGGGTAAGAGACCCTATCTTAAGTAGTACTAACTTGATAATAGAGAGGGTAAGAGACCCTATCTTAAGTAGTACTAACTTGATAAAGGAGAGGGTAAGAGACCCTATCTTAAGTAGTACTAACTTGATAATAGAGAGGGTAAGAGACCCTATCTTAAGTAGTACTAACTTGATAATGGAGAGGGTAAGAGACCCTATCTTAAGTAGTACTAACTTGATAATGGAGAGGGTAAGAGACCCTATCTTAAGTAGTACTAACTTGATAATGGAGAGGGTAAGAGACCCTATCTTAAGTAGTACTAACTTGATAATGGAGAGGGTTAGAGACCCTATCTTAAGTAGTACTAACTTGATAATGGAGAGGGTAAGAGACCCTATCTTTAGTAGTACTAACTTGATAATAGAGAGGGTTAGAGACCCTATCTTAAGTAGTACTAACTTGATAATAGAGAGGGTTAGAGACCCTATCTTCAGTAGTACTAACTTGATAATGGAGAGGGTAAGAGACCCTATCTTAAGTAGTACTAACTTGATAATAGAGAGGGTTAGAGACCCTATCTTAAGTAGTACTAACTTGATAATAGAGAGGGTTAGAGACCCTATCTTAAGTAGTACTAACTTGATAATGGAGAGGGTAAGAGACCCTATCTTAAGTAGTACTAACTTGATAATGGAGAGGGTAAGAGACCCTATCTTAAGTAGTACTAACTTGATAATAGAGAGGGTAAGAGACCCTATCTTAAGTAGTACTAACTTGATAAAGGAGAGGGTAAGAGACCCTATCTTAAGTAGTACTAACTTGATAATAGAGAGGGTAAGAGACCCTATCTTAAGTAGTACTAACTTGATAATGGAGAGGGTAAGAGACCCTATCTTAAGTAGTACTAACTTGATAATGGAGAGGGTAAGAGACCCTATCTTAAGTAGTACTAACTTGATAATGGAGAGGGTAAGAGACCCTATCTTAAGTAGTACTAACTTGATAATGGAGAGGGTTAGAGACCCTATCTTAAGTAGTACTAACTTGATAATGGAGAGGGTAAGAGACCCTATCTTAAGTAGTACTAACTTGATAATGGAGAGGGTAAGAGACCCTATCTTAAGTAGTACTAACTTGATAATGGAGAGGGTTAGAGACCCTATCTTAAGTAGTACTAACTTGATAATGGAGAGGGTAAGAGACCCTATCTTAAGTAGTACTAACTTGATAATGGAGAGGGTAAGAGACCCTATCTTAAGTAGTACTAACTTGATAATAGAGAGGGTTAGAGACCCTATCTTTAGTAGTACTAACTTGATAATAGAGAGGGTTAGAGACCCTATCTTAAGTAGTACTAACTTGATAATAGAGAGGGTTAGAGACCCTATCTTCAGTAGTACTAACTTGATAATGGAGAGGGTAAGAGACCCTATCTTAAGTAGTACTAACTTGATAATAGAGAGGGTTAGAGACCCTATCTTAAGTAGTACTAACTTGATAATGGAGAGGGTTAGAGACCCTATCTTAAGTAGTACTAACTTGATAATGGAGAGGGTAAGAGACCCTATCTTAAGTAGTACTAACTTGATAATGGAGAGGGTAAGAGACCCTATCTTAAGTAGTACTAACTTGATAATAGAGAGGGTTAGAGACCCTATCTTTAGTAGTACTAACTTGATAATAGAGAGGGTTAGAGACCCTATCTTAAGTAGTACTAACTTGATAATAGAGAGGGTTAGAGACCCTATCTTCAGTAGTACTAACTTGATAATGGAGAGGGTAAGAGACCCTATCTTAAGTAGTACTAACTTGATAATAGAGAGGGTTAGAGACCCTATCTTAAGTAGTACTAACTTGATAATAGAGAGGGTTAGAGACCCTATCTTAAGTAGTACTAACTTGATAATAGAGAGGGTTAGAGACCCTATCTTAAGTAGTACTAACTTGATAATAGAGAGGGTTAGAGACCCTATCTTCAGTAGTACTAACTTGATAATAGAGAGGGTTAGAGACCCTATCTTAAGTAGTACTAACTTGATAATGGAGAGGGTTAGAGACCCTATCTTAAGTAGTACTAACTTGATAATGGAGAGGGTAAGAGACCCTATCTTAAGTAGTACTAACTTGATAATGGAGAGGGTAAGAGACCCTATCTTAAGTAGTACTAACTTGATAATAGAGAGGGTTAGAGACCCTATCTTTAGTAGTACTAACTTGATAATAGAGAGGGTTAGAGACCCTATCTTAAGTAGTACTAACTTGATAATAGAGAGGGTTAGAGACCCTATCTTCAGTAGTACTAACTTGATAATGGAGAGGGTAAGAGACCCTATCTTAAGTAGTACTAACTTGATAATAGAGAGGGTTAGAGACCCTATCTTAAGTAGTACTAACTTGATAATAGAGAGGGTTAGAGACCCTATCTTAAGTAGTACTAACTTGATAATAGAGAGGGTTAGAGACCCTATCTTAAGTAGTACTAACTTGATAATAGAGAGGGTTAGAGACCCTATCTTCAGTAGTACTAACTTGATAATGGAGAGGGTTAGAGACCCTATCTTAAGTAGTACTAACTTGATAATAGAGAGGGTTAGAGACCCTATCTTAAGTAGTACTAACTTGATAATAGAGAGGGTTAGAGACCCTATCTTTAGTTTCTTAGTCAGTAGCAATCCCTCTAGATCTGTACTAGCTGTTATATCTTCTGCTTCTATTTTCAGTGTGTCGTCCAATGTTACAGAGATCTGTTAAACATTCCCTCAAGTTAGAGTTCTATAATAATAATAAGGTTGGTAAGATCAGTGTGTATTGGTGAGGTTTAACGAGGTAAAATAATATTTTTAATTGTGGTTTATTATGTTAAGTGAGGTTTCACGAGATTAAGCGAGGTTTAGTGAGGATAGGTGAGGTTACTTGAGGTATAAGTGAGGTATAAGTGAGGTTTCGTGAGGTATAAGTGAGGTATAAATGAGGTATAAGTGAGGTTTCGTGAGATTAAGTGATGTTACTTGAGGTATAAGTGAGGTTAAGTGAGGTTACTTGAGGTATAGGTGAGGTTAATTGAGGTATAAGTGAGGTTTCACGAGATAAAGTGAGGTATAAGTGAGGTATAAGTGAGGTATAAATGAGGTATAAGTGAGGTATAAGCGAGGTTTAGTGAGGTATAAGTGAGGTGTACTAATAACAGGTGACATCCTACCTTTGGTATAGCGTACTGTAACCACACGTAAAGGAAAGGTTTAGAGTCCCCCTCATTGTCTGGTATAACACTACCACTATCAGTATAGTACACTAGATCAGGTAGGTAGGTGTGTATTGAGGAGATCTCAGAGCCTGAGGGGGATAATAGTGTTAATATCTGGAGGGGATATAATCTTACTATATATATAATAAAGCGAGACGATATTATATATGGATGGATGTGTTTATCCGTACCATTTTACTGACACCACGGCATCAACTTTAACGCGACTTTCCGCAAAAACCGTAAAATATATAATAGAGGGGTTGTTTATCTAGCGTTAACAGTTCACATCACAGCTACTACACATGCTACTACACAATATGTACTACACATGTTACTATACATGTTACTATACATGTTACTATACATGTTACTATACATGTTACTATACATGTTACTACACATGTTACTACACATGTTACTACACATGTTACTACACATGTTACACTAGTTACCTGTGGTAGATACTTGAGTGAGAGGAGTGTCCAGAGTACTAGCCACACTAAACGAGCGTGTCAGGGAGGCCACTACACGTAGTACTAGTCTTATCTGCAGTGGTAATCAATTAGTTAATTAGCGAACTAATTGGTTAGTTGACTGGGTAATTGCAGTGTTAATCAATTAGTTAATTAGCAAACTAATTGCAGTGGTAATCAATTAGTTAATTAGCAAACTAATTGGTTAGTTGACTGGGTAATTGATAAATGAATACAATTTTGTTGATGGAATTCAGAGAGATATGAACCTATATGAACCTATATATATATATAATGAACCTATACCTGATCCAGATGTATAGCTACTGATATGGGATGGGTGTCAGCGTGTAAACAAATGTCATTACTTCCTCTGCTGCCCAGAGCTAGTACCACCTGACAAACATGTATCTTAATTATTTTAATGTTAATTTAATTAATAAATATATTATTCTAATGTTAATTACTCGATTAGCAATACTAGCAATATTAGCATCCTTATAAAGATGTTTAATTGAAGTTTAAATGACAGATGTTTGATTGAACATTTTATTTATTCGCTCCAAACCGAGTAATAACTGTACGATATAAAAGTTTTTAATCGGTTTATTGATTAATTAACTAATTAGCTAATTAGCTCACATCAAGAGACAGAGGAGCAAGGAGCGGTTGAACAGTGTGGGAGACGGTGGTAACAGCCAAGTTGCTGAGGGATATCTTCCAGGGTAGAGTTTTATAATCAGTAGGATTACCTACTAGTCCACCAGTTGTAGTTACTGATAGGGGTAATTCCTGGGGAGAGAGAGAGTTTTATAATCAGTAGGATTACCTACTAGTCCACCTGTTGTAGTTACTGATAGGGGTAATTCCTGGGGAGAGAGAGTTTTATAATCAGTAGGATTACCTACTAGTCCACCAGTTGTAGTTACTGATAGGGGTAATTCCTGGGAGAGAGAGTTTTATAATCAGTAGGATTACCCACTAGTCCACCAGTTGTAGTTACTGATAGGGGTAATTCCTGGGGAGAGAGAGTTTTATAATCAGTAGGATTACCTACTAGTCCACCAGTTGTAGTTACTGATAGGGGTAATTCCTGGGGAGAGAGAGTTTTATAATCAGTAGGATTACCTACTAGTCCACCAGTTGTAGTTACTGATAGGGGTAATTCCTGGGGAGAAAGGGTTTTATAATCAGTAGGATTACCTACTAGTCCACCTGTTGTAGTTACTGATAGGGGTAATTCCTGGGGAGAGAGGGTTTTGTAATCAGTAGGATTACCTACTAGTCCACCTGTTGTAGTTACTGATAGGGGTAATTCCTGGGGAGAAAGGGTTTTATAATCAGTAGGATTACCCACTAGTCCACCAGTTGTAGTTACTGATAGGGGTAATTCCTGGGGAGAGAGAGTTTTATAATCAGTAGGATTACCTACTAGTCCACCAGTTGTAGTTACTGATAGGGGTAATTCCTGGGGAGAGAGAGTTTTATAATCAGTAGGATTACCTACTAGTCCACCAGTTGTAGTTACTGATAGGGGTAATTCCTGGGGAGAAAGGGTTTTATAATCAGTAGGATTACCCACTAGTCCACCAGTTGTAGTTACTGATAGGGGTAATTCCTGGGGAGAGAGAGTTTTATAATCAGTAGGATTACCTACTAGTCCACCAGTTGTAGTTACTGATAGGGGTAATTCCTGGGGAGAGAGAGTTTTATAATCAGTAGGATTACCTACTAGTCCACCAGTTGTAGTTACTGATAGGGGTAATTCCTGGGGAGAGAGAGTTTTATAATCAGTAGGATTACCTACTAGTCCACCAGTTGTAGTTACTGATAGGGGTAATTCCTGGGGAGAAAGGGTTTTATAATCAGTAGGATTACCTACTAGTCCACCTGTTGTAGTTACTGATAGGGGTAATTCCTGGGGAGAGAGGGTTTTGTAATCAGTAGGATTACCTACTAGTCCACCTGTTGTAGTTACTGATAGGGGTAATTCCTGGGGAGAAAGGGTTTTATAATCAGTAGGATTACCTACTAGTCCACCAGTTGTAGTTACTGATAGGGGTAATTCCTGGGGAGAGAGAGTTTTATAATCAGTAGGATTACCTACTAGTCCACCTGTTGTAGTTACTGATAGGGGTAATTCCTGGGGAGAAAGGGTTTTATAATCAGTAGGATTACCTACTAGTCCACCAGTTGTAGTTACTGATAGGGGTAATTCCTGGGGAGAAAGGGTTTTATAATCAGTAGGATTACCTACTAGTCCACCTGTTGTAGTTACTGATAGGGGTAATTCCTGGGGAGAGAGAGTTTTATAATCAGTAGGATTACCTACTAGTCCACCAGTTGTAGTTACTGATAGGGGTAATTCCTGGGGAGAGAGAGTTTTATAATCAGTAGGATTACCTACTAGTCCACCAGTTGTAGTTACTGATAGTGGTAATTCCTGGGGAGAGAGAGTTTTATAATCAGTAGGATTACCCACTAGTCCACCAGTTGTAGTTACTGATAGGGGTAATTCCTGGGAGAGAGGCATATTAAAGACTTTTAGAGAGTGTCAGAGATACTATAACTCACTATGAAGTTACTATTACTCACTATAAAGTTACTATAACTCACTACAGAGTTACTATTCCTCACTATAAAGTTACTATTCCTCACTATAAAGTTACTATTCCTCACTATAAAGTTACTATTACTCACTATAGAGTTACTATTCCTCACTATAAAGTTACTATAACTCACTACAGAGTTACTATTCCTCACTATAAAATTACTATTCCTCACTATGAAGTTACTATTCCTCACTATAAAGTTACTATTCCTCACCTGAGGGTTGATAAGTCCACAAGTTGTAGTCTGGTTAGTGACGAGTAGAGCAGGTAAGCAGATCAGCACTGCGTCCAGATCCGGGCTGCTCTGCGCGTACTCTAACACGTCCCCTTGAGGAGAGCCACACCCTGCTGAGCTGATCAGCAGTACTATTGGGGACACCACCATCTGGAGAGAGAGGAGGGGAGTTTAGGCTCAATTTTTATCATAAAGTTGGAGGTATATACTCCTATATTATAGTATTCTTACCTTCTTATTTTATATTATAAAGCATGTTTTAGTTTTACCTGCACAGCAAGATACTCCACTACATGCCACAAACTAGTTACCTGGTTACCTGGTTACCTGGTTACCTGGTTACCTGGTTACCTGGTTACCTGGTAACCTGGTTACCTGGTTACCTGGTTAGTTTTACCTGCACAGCAAGATACTCCACTACATGCCACAAACTAGTTACCTGGTTACCTGGTTACCTGGTTACCTGGTTACCTGGTTACCTGGTTACCTGGTTACCTGGTTACCTGGTTACCTGGTTACCTGGTTACCTGGTTAGTTTTACCTGCACAGCAAGATACTCCACTACATGCCACAAACTAGTTACCTGGTTACCTGGTTACCTGGTTACCTGGTTACCTGGTTACCTGGTTACCTGGTTACCTGGTTACCTGGTTACCTGGTTACCTGGTTACCTGGTTAGTTTTACCTGCACAGCAAGATACTCCACTACATGCCACAAACTAGTTACCTGGTTACCTGGTTACCTGGTTACCTGGTTACCTGATTAGTTTTACCTGCACAGCAAGATACTCCACTACATGCCACAAACTAGTTACCTGGTTACCTGGTTACCTGGTTACCTGGTTACCTGGTTACCTGGTTACCTGGTTACCTGGTTACCTGGTTACCTGGTTACCTGGTTACCTGATTAGTTTTACCTGCACAGCAAGGTACTCCACTACATGCCACAAACTAGAGCTTTCCACCGAGTCAGTGACACGTGACGAGGAGCCACTAGCTGACACGTCACGCGGTATGGCGTCATGTGCTGTGACGTCATCAGGAGAGTAGCGTGGAGGTGTGTCGGGGACTTTATTGTCTGGAAGAGTAGTCATTATACACCTCAGTCCTAAGTAAATGAGCATGTAGCATGTAACCTCAGTCCTCAGGGTTGTAGTGCCCCTGGTCCTCAGTATCATTATAAACATACTCAAACTCTCAACAATTAGAGCAACTGTTTAATTTACCTGATGGTGTGGAAGCAGGAGTAGTGAAGTTGTTAGGGGAGGGGCCTGTGGAGGAGGGGGCAGTGGAAGAGGGTGCTGTGGAAGAGGCGGGTGTAGAGCTAGCTACACTTTCTAGTGAACAAGACCTGAGGTTTATAATTGAGTATCAGTAACCAACTAGTAACCAACTAGTAACCAACTAAGGATGCTACGGTTTAAACTAAACTAATTTCAATAAAGTACTTTAAAGATTTTGCATTCGATTTTGAAAATCTTGGACCTCGTTTTTGATGATTTTTCGAGGTCCACGATTTTCAAAATCGAACAAAAAAATTTAAAGGCCTATCTCAAAATTCTGTCGGGCTCATTTCTTCTAAATGATCCCTAGAACATATCCTGAAAGTTTCAGGGTGATTGCTCAAAGAATGTAAGAGAAGATAGATCTTTAGACTCGATTTTCAGGGCACGCGATCAAAAATCGTTCGCCCAATACAATTACACACACGCGCTGACCTTTGACCGGCAATAATTTCGGCTAGGAACGTTATTTTTCCACGGGATCAAAAACATCTGACAGATACCACTCCCCTCTATCAGAAACAACTAAAAAGTTGATTTTGAGAAAATTTCCATGAAGACCCCCCTGCCCTCTTAATAATGTTATCGTAGTGTTGAGTAGTTGTGACTACTAAAACCGCTCACCTCACATAAGTACCAGAATTGACAGGAGGCAGATAAGCAAGGAGAGCAGGAAGGGCTTTGTCCCAACATATCACTACACCGCTACTGTGCACTATTAACACTGGCCTGTCTGATGGGGTCGAACCTGAGCAAAACACAAGGATATATTTTATAAGGGAAAATGTAGAACACAAGGATATATATTTTATAAGGGAAAATGTAAAACACAAGGATATATTTTATAAAGGAAAATCTAAAACACAAGGATATATTTTATAAGGGAAAATGTAAAACACAAGGATATATTTTATAAGGGAAAATGTAAAACACAAGGATATATATTTTATAAGGGAAAATGTAAAACACAAGGATATATTTTATAAAGGAAAATGTAAAACACAAGGATATATTTTATAAGGGAAAATGTAAAACACAAGGATATATTTTATAAAGAAAAATGTAAAACAGAAGGATATATTTTATAAAGGAAAATGTAAAACACAAGGATATATTTTATAAGGGAAAATGTAAAACACAAGAATATATTTTATAAAGGAAAATGTAAAACACAAGGATATATTTTATAAGGGAAAATGTAAAGCACAAGGATATATTCTATAAACGACGATTTAAAAACATCATTGAGAATCTTTAAAACATGCAGATATTTTACCAACGTAAAGTTACGAGACATGTGCGATTTATAATATGATAAATATTATTACTGTTATGATAAACTTATAAACTTACTGGTGGTAAAGGGGACGCGAGGCCACTGAACAGTAACACTCAATAAACTGGGTACCACGTGTACATCACGAGGTTGCTCCAGCGACCTGAACAGATTACTTACTAATTACTCACTAATTCATAATTTGTTTACTTATTAACATCAGTTACTAAATTTTGTTACCAAATTTTTAAATTCAAATTTAATGATTAATTGACTAGTGAGTAGGAGTACTAGATAATACTAGGTAGTAGTTAGTAGTGAGTAGTGAGTAGTACCTGTATACATCTTTCGTGAAGTAGGGCCCAGATAAAATGCATACCGCCTCATCCGCTGTAACGAAATAATTGTTAGTACATGTACATAGTTTAGTTTTTTAGTTAGTACAAAGTTCATATCCATTGTTCATTCTCGTTGTAGTCTCTGACATTTAAATAATTTATGTTTTCCACAATGATTTTACAGCGGCAATTTGTTAATAAAAAAATAAATAGCGAGAATGAAATAAATCTGATCAGCTAACCAAATAATAAGCCAATTAAAAAGCAATCTATACTAAATAAGGCCCCATGTAGCCTCCAGGCTCGACAAACCCCGCAAAATTCAGTGTGCAACGTTTGCCTTAATAGATCAGTCAGTCACTGAGTGCACAACTGAAATGCCCCCCCCCCCCCCCCCTGTATATTTATCAGGAGATAATAAATAATTAAACATACTAGATTTGTAGAGAAAGAGCCCCCCCCCCCCTGTATATTTATCAGGAGATAATAATAATAAATAATTAAACATACTAGATTTGTAGAGAAAGAGCCCCCCCCCCCCCCCCCCTGTATATTTATCAGGAGATAATAATAAATAACATACTAGATTTGTAGAGAAAGAGCTCAGCGCCGCGCAGTGTCAACATAGCAGAGTTTACAACAGTAGTTTGACAATACTTCATCCCAATGTGCGAAACACACAGTTCTACACTCAACTGCTCTTCTGTGATATACAGTGTTATTAACTAATTAACTAATTAACTAATTAACTAATTAACTAATTAACTAATTAACTAATTAACTAATTAACTAATTAACTAATTATAAGTATCAAATTAATCGTTGTTTTATTAAGCATTAAAAATTTTTTCTAAAGGGGGTTCCCCTTAAAAAAATCCGGGGGTTTTTAAATTTTTTTTTTCTTTTTTTTAAAAAAAAAAAGGGCCCTCAAAAAAATCCTGCCCCCTTAACCCCATTTTTTTCAAAAAACGGGGGAAAAAAAACCCTAAACCTTTATCTAGAGTTTGCGGGGGGAAAAGTTTTTTCGGGAGGGGGGCGGTTTGTTTTAACTAAAAAAACCCCAAAAGGAGTTTTGGGGGGCTTTTTGTTTTGGGGGGCAGGTCAAACCCTATATTAGAGTTTGGGGGGGGGTTTAAGTGTTCTGGGGGGGTGCAGTTTTAAAAATTAATTTACTAAAAAGGTTTTGTGGGTTTTGGGTGTTTTTGAGTGCAGGGGGTTCAAAAACCTTTTTAAATTAGGGGGGTTGGGTTTGGGGGGTTGTTTTTTGGGATTTGGCGGTCCCTTTTGTAACAAACTCCCCCCCAAAACCCCACCCCCACCCCCCAAGTTGAAAAGGGCCCATTAGTATGGGGAAGGGGATAGGAGAGGGGGGGGGGGATTGTGGTTTTGAAAAAGGGCTTTTAGTTTTTTTCGGGGGGGAAAACTTTTAGGGCCCGGCCCTTTTTAAACCTTGCATTGGGGGGGAAAAACCCTTAAAGGGGAAAGGTTAAAATGCGGGTCGCACTTCTAAAAAAAAAATTTTGTTGTGGGGGACCTGGGGGAAAAGTAACCACTTTTTTAGTGCACCTTTCAAAATTAAACCCTTTTCCCCCTTTGGGGAAAACCCAGAGGGGATCATTTTAAAATTCCCCCATTTTACGCCTTTTTTAAACCCTTGAAATTGGGGGGGGAAAATTTTGGGGGGGAAAAATTTTCCCCAATGTTAGTAAAAACTTTTAATTTAAAAAAAATTCCCCCATTGGGGAAACCCCTTGGGGGGGAAAGTTTCCCGGGGTTAAAGGTCGCCCTT